TAATGTGTTGTGTAGATAATACCACTCTGGTTTTTAAACTCGACCCCTAGGAAAATCAAAATCAAAATATGTAATTAAATGTTTCTTAAAAATTTAGTTTTATTTTCATGCCGCCGCTTTAGTTTCGTTCATTCGTCCGGTTGAAAAAAAATCAACCTACAATTCGTTGACTTAAGAACAGCTATCTTTTTTGGAAAGTTTGAAGTTTTTAATCCATATATGGTTCTTCATAAAAGTGATTAGATAATTAGAAAATTATGCAGCAGAGACATTCAAATTGACGGAATTTATCTTCATTCGACATTATGTTTCTCCACACTTGGCCGTAAATCGGGCGTTTAGAAGGACTGGAAGATCACATGAAATTACGTATACAGTCCTCATGAGAAAACATTCGAGTTACAAAAACTACAAAAAAATTGTGATTATTTTATTTTTTACACAGTTACCTATTATTTCCGCCAGGTTTGAATAGTTGGTAGAGGCCTGATCAGGTTTTAATCTGGTAGCAGAAATTCAAAAATATTTTTAAAATTTTTTACTTATTGATTTTAAATAACAACTTATATTATTCTTCCCCCTTATTTTGTTTCTAGAAATATTTGCAGTTTATATTCAAATATTAAATGCTAATAAGCTCCTCGAAATATAACATTGCTCTCTTTTTTTTTTTTTCAATATTCAGCGTGAATTTCAATGCAAAGTGTCTCGCTCGACATGAAAATTTTAAGACGCTTATTAATAGTCTTTGAAAGCTATCTACTGACAAGAGGTGAATTTAAAAAGGTTACAAGAATTTGAAGATTAACATGAAATAGTGTTTCTCCTTTATGTATTTTCTAATCTAAAAATAATATTTGATTGACGTTTATTTGATAAATTGAAAACTGGACAAATTTTTATAGTTCTCTGAAAATAAGGTTGATGAATCAATGCCAAAAATTGCAGGACACCTAGCCCAGAAGGAGGGCGAATTGGGATTCCTGTTGTGCGCAATGTCCCGTAAAATTCCAAAACAGAGAGAGGGGATTAAATTTTGTAGATCCAGAAAAATAATATCTGTGGGATGCCTGCGTAGAGACTGGCAGCTGGTGGGGTCTTAAAATGTAACTCATGTGGCCGCAGCGCTCTGCCCCCTCGCCTGTCCTAGCCGCAGCGCTTGGCCCTGAAAGTGTCTTAACCTAACCTTACCCTAAATAAATACTAATTTAATAATTTTTTTTGATCTACAAAATTCAATCTCCCTCTCTCTGTTTTAGAATTTTACGGGACATTGCGCACCACAGGAATCCCACTCCGCCCAAAAGGAGGGTCACTAGAAATTGAGCCTACAGTCCCTTTAGACATAAAATTGAATAAATGTTGCCTCTAACGTTGATAATTAAATTCTTCTTTTTAAGTACTTACATTTAAAATTAAATGTATTTTCTTGGTATTACTTAGTATCAAATTTTTTATTTTTCATACAGGATGAATTCAAAGTGTCATTCATGTTCAATATCATCCTATCTCTTTTGCGCTTCACATTTTTTATAAATTTGAAATAATTTTTTAGATATCTTGAAGCCAAAAATGTAGGAGTACAACAATGTTAAATAGATTATTTCTATATAAATCTAACATTTCATAAATATCGCATGCAAGGAAATCCGCAAAATTGTATGATGTTAACTCACAATTTTAGTTCTGGTTTAATTCTTTCAGCAAAGGTATCATTGAATACATGAATAAAATAAGAAATATCTCCAAAAGAATGGAGGACATTTTAAAAATTGTGCATTTTTTACATTGTCTTTGTTTGACCGACTGAACAATATTATGGATTAAAGTGAACTTTTGAAGAAAATTGTAATATCTGAATTGATCAACCCGATCTTCATGAAATTTTAGGATTTGATAGAAGTAATCTATTGATTTTTTTTTGTTTTTCTACTCTTTTAATTTTGATGAAAAGTTTCTCAGATTTTTATTGGGCTATATGAGCTAGAAAAAAATGGAAAAATTTCTAGAACAGAAAAGAAAAAAATACCATATATGAGAATTGCAGAGGAACAAATATGGTTCGAATGAGACGTTTTACTCACCCTGTAAAAATAATGAGCTGTAAAATGTCAATAAAACATTACTTTGCGAATATCCGAATTGCAGAAATATTTGCCTTAGGAAAAAGTGCTGACATATTGCAAAATATTTGTCTTAATGAGCTCTTTCAGAATCTCAAAAAAAGTTACATGGGATTTTTCTTATCTCTTAGAAGAATAAATTGAAGAATAACTTTTAGACAGTTCTTAGAAAAAGACTTTTCAAAATAATTTAACTAAGGTTAAAAAATTTCTTTTTCCTGACAGAGTAATGAAGGTTTGGACGGTTAAACCCTGCCATGAAAACCATCGCCTTCGGGATCCGTAATATCTCCTTTACATCCCTAGTAAAGGGAGTGTACATCTTTTTTATATTTAAAAAGGGAGTGCACACTCTTTTTCATATTTAAAAAGGGAGTGCACACTCATTTTCCTATTTAAAAAGGGGGTGCACACTCTGTTTCATATTAAAAAGTGAATGCGCACGTTTTTCATATTTAAAAAGGGAGTGCGCACTCTTTTTTATATTTAAAAAGGGAGTGCACACTCTTTTTCATATTTAAAAGGGAGTGTGCACTCTTTTTCAAATTTAAAAGGGAGTGTTGACTCTTTTTCAAATTAAATAGGGAGTTCACACTCGTTTTCATATTTTAATAGGGAGTGTTCCATGATATTTATAAAGCAGGTGTTCATGATTTTTTTTTAAAAGGGTGGGTTCATGATATTTTAAAGAAGGTGTTCATGATATTAAAAAAAGTGTGATCCAGATATTTTATAGAAGTTGTTCATATTTTAAAAGAGGTGTTCATGATATTTTTAAAGGTGCTCATGATATTTTACATAAGGTGTTTATGATATTTCTAAGAAGGTGGTCATGGTATTTTAAAGAGGGTGTTCATAATATTTTAAAGAGGGTGTTCAAGATATTTTAAAGAAGGTGTTCAAGATATTTTAAAGAAGGTGTTCATGATATATTAAAGAAGGTGTTCATGATATATTAAAGAAGGTGTTCACTATATTTTAAAGAAAGTATTTATGAATTTTAAAGGGATTGACCATGGTATTCTTCAGGATATACTCATGAAATTTAGAAATTTTTATAAATATGGGGATGAATAGGATATTAATGGATATATAAATAGATGACTGATGAATGGTTCAAAAGTTTAATAAATGAATGATTGACTAGATGCAGGGGAGTATTCAGAAATTTTTCCAGGGGCCTAAAAAAATTTTCTGTCCAGGAGGGGGGTCTCAGCACCCGTTGGAGCCCCAAAAAAACCTGGAAATCATAGATTTCACTGATTCAAGAAGAGGGGGGNACTTGAATAGGTCTCTGACTAGATGAATAAATGAATATTAGAAAAGAACTGATGAAAATATCATGGAATGAATAAATGAATATCTTCCTATATGAAAAGGTAAATATAAAAATATGATCTGATAAATATATGAATTGAATAGATGAATAAACATAAATGAATAAAATATAAATAAATAATGAGTAATTGGATGAAAAAGATAAAAACGTAATTACTTTGTAACGTTAGCAGTACTAGTTGCTGTTAGACCTAGAACGGGAACCTACGATAGAAGATGAGGTTCAAATTTGTTGTATTGTTTTTAAAAATCTATTAATGAAAACAGATATATCGATAAATTTAGAATTGCTCAAGTACGGTGATAAGCGATTATATCAATACAATAAAGACGACTTTTATATTTAAGTTTTGATTGTTTACAAGCTTTTATCGAATTACAAGTTTACAAGTAATGAAAGAGAAGCTTTTTTATTGATAAATTCTCTGGACTTCTATGTTTTTGTGTATCCATGATGTTTAATAATTTATATCTAAACTGAATTCGAAAGTCGTCTTCATTGTATTGATATAATCGCCTACCACTGTACAAAAAAAGGAAACGACATGAAAATTTCAAGATTGTTTGAAATTAATTCCCTTTATATATCATTGTCATTTTCAACCCCAAGGCTTTCTTTATATCAAACATTATCAAATATTTCATAAAATCCACAAATGTCTAAATTCAAATTTCTAAATAGATTATATTTGTGATTCAACATTTCATCCGGATTTAAAGTAATCTAGATGTAAAATTATAACATCAAAGACAGTTGTGCAAATAAGTTTTCAAAAATAGCAACGAAACTTTAAATTTAAAAATAAATTTAACGCAAAAAATAAAAAAGTACTTTCATAAATTATCCACATTTGTAATTATAACATCAAAGTGAAGAGAACAAATTAGTTTTCAGAATAAAGATAAAGTTAGATCTTATTAAGCTCTTTTTTAAACAAGTTAGACTTGGTCTGGATCAAAAAATCAAATTGGAAGTGTTCGTAAAAAATGAAGAGTGTACAGTAAGTAACATCCATTAACGAATATAATTTAATTTTACCGTTTGTGTGAAAAAACTAAATGTTTTCCTTTCTCATGCTACTTTCTACTTCTCATGCTAATTTTCCACTAGCAATTTTACTTTTCCACTTCCCATGCTACTTTCTCCTTCTTCCTTCTCATGTTACATTTGCCTTCCTATGCTACTTTTGCCTTTCTCATGCTACTTTCCCTTTCCAATGTTACTTTTCCAATTTCAATGTTACTTCTCCAATTACAGTGCTGTTTTTCCATTTCAAATGTTACTTTTCCAATTCCAATGCTACTTTTTCCCATCTCATGTTACTTTCAAATTCCAATATTACTTTTTTTCAAACTTTTCCACTTCCTATTTTACTTTTCCATCCAATGTTACTTTTCCAATTCAAATGCTACTTTTTCTCTAAACCCATTCCCATCCTACTTTTCCCCTCACCATCCAAATTTGCTTCCTCCTATCCAAATATACCCTTTCCCATCCAACCCCCCCCCCCAGCTTTTCTTCCCTTTGGATTGTTTTTCTTTATTCCAACCTACCTCAGGGAACATTCCCTTCATGGCTCCTAGAAACTTGTAATCTGGCCGGAAATCATGTCCCCACTTTTCAAACATTTATTCTTTTAATTTAGAAAAGTGCTATTATTCTTTAAGATGGAGCCACTTGTTCCAAATTTATATTTTATACAATTACGCCGCACCCCTCTAAGGTAAGAATTTGTTTCCTTGATTATAATCAAAAATAGTAACTTTAAATTTGACGCGATTAAATGCTTAATCTGTATAAAACAGTTGACTCGAATTCAAGCGAACTCTCATTGACAGAGAGCACCAATTTGGTTGCTTCTGATTGGTCGAACCTAAACAAGGATACCAAAATAACCCTTATCCGATGACTACAAAACACAGATCAATGTTTTATGAAGGGAAAATTAATACAAAAATTGTGACCTCACAATAATCGGAATATGTTGTAAGGGTGGAGGGGTTAATTTATTTAAAGAAGGCTTATTTCTACTGAAAGGAGAGAATTTCTTAGAAAGAATAACTCCCTGTGAACAGCAATGAACTTCATCTGAAAAATACATAAAATTAAATTCCAAATTCTGGATGCATTCATATTCTTATATAACTGATTTTGTTTTTTATCAGATATATTTACAGTGCAGGGTTGAATTCTTTCTTTGGCAATCTTAACCCATTAGTATCGACGCGCCCGTCCGTGGATGAAAATGAATAAAATTTTCAGAAAAGAATATTCAAACATTTCTAAAAATATTTGCAAAAAGAATTTTAGTCAAAATGAGCAGAAATTTTTTTTTATTTTTAGGTCGGTTTTAGACCTTTCCGGACCAGCAGAAATAGACCTACGATAGTTTCGATGCATAATTTGAGCAAATAACAGCAGATTATATGTAATTTATCTAATTTATTCTGTGACAAATATGCTCAATTTTATTATAAGAATGAATTAACAAAATAATATTTAAACAACATTCTTTACAAAATACATATTACTGTAAAATATCTAAGTATGAATGAATAAAGTAATAAATCAATGTAAAGTGTCAACCAGAAAGCATAAGACTCTAAATGCGACTAGGTTTGCATTTAAATCTACGTGCAGTTAAGATTAAAGTTATTCATAAAAACATCTTAGCTCATAAATAATAAAATTTTAATTTCAAAATTACTTTCTAAATTTAACTATTCAAAGATATTCATCTTAATTTATGGTGTAAAAAAAATAAAAAATTTAGAACTTTTTTTGCCCTATCTTTACCCCAAGGTACACATTGGTTCCCTAAAAAAAATACAGCTAATCGGTCTAGCCGTTTGGCCGGCTATTGGGAACATATATACGAATGTTTTATTATATTGAAGATAGTTATGAAATTTCGACCAGTTAACTAAACAAATAAATGGAATAAAGAAATGAAGCTTTTTTTCATAAAGCTTTTTAAATTATAATAGTGAGTAAAACACCAGCACGTAACACCCCTTCGGCTTGAGGGTGTAGGTTGGGGAGGGGAACGGGTTGAAGGGCAAAGGGAACTTATGAGTGGATGCAAATGGGGGGGGGGGGTGCGCATTGATGCAAAATATATTCAGAACGTATCAGATCTTGAAATTAGTATTTCGACCTATTCCAAGAAGTTCGTTTGCAAGTTGATTTTCGTCGTTCAGATCTGGTTGCTTTCTAAGTTGTACTTTTTTTGATTGACCATAAACATTGGTCTAATACCTTATTCATTCATCAATTAATCATTTATAAACGTCTTTATGGTCAAATAGTGCATCAGACTTTCTTAGGTTGAAAACAGCTGATTCGGTACAGGTCATTTTTGACTTAGGTCTACTTCGTCAGTCCGGAAAGGTCAAAAACGACCTATATTTTGCCAAAAAAAAACCAAAAAAAGCATTTTATTGAACCAAGACTTTTCAGAATCAAAAAATATACATAGAATCCTTATAAAAAGTATAAAGAAGTGTTCCAACATTTATCCAAACAAAGAAGTTAGATGTGGGTAGAATATTTGAATATAATCGTTATCTTATCCTCTGAAAAATTTAAATCCTTCTCGTACTATTGCATAACATATATTTTTTTTAAGTATCGTGATTTAATGCTTTTCAAGAATAAGCCAGGATCAAACAGTGGATTCACAGAACAACTACATAACTAAAGAATGATTTTAAACTTTCTTCTCACATTTTTTACTTCAGTCCGAATTTAACAGTTGAACAAAATTCGTTCTTTTTTGATTTAAAACTTTTCGTCTTCATTTCTAATTTTGTTAAAGGGACTGTAAGCGCAATTTCAGGTGATCCTATGTGCAAAGATGGCAAACCACAATTTACTATTGTACCCTTAATAGTTTTGTCTGATCAAGTAAGAAATAAATATCAATGTTTATGTCTTTGAACTTTCACCCCTCGAAAACTACACAGGGGGATATTTTTAAATAATTGATTTTTCAGTTTTAGCATAAATATAATTTTTAAATCCATTTATTAAGAGTTATTGGTTTTTTATTCTTTTTTGAAGATCTTTTTTTTAGCTTAACATCTTNCCCCAACCTTACTTATTTTACTTATTTAAGGGAGGAGTGGTTGTGAGTTTTTTGTTTGAAAATAGACACGCCTGATATTTTAAAGTTTTAACAACTACACACAACAAAATTCTCAAGATGTAAAATAAAATTCAAAATGGAAAAAGAAGGAATTAATAAAAACAACGCCAGAATGAAAACAGAGAGAACATAATGAATAATTTCTGAGAAAAAAAGCAAACAAATAAATTTTAAAAAACAAATAACAACAATAAAAAGATTTTGCACATAAAAATTCAAGCCATGATATATAATTTTAATTTGTTTTTAATTATAGTAAATCATCTTATTCCATGGAAAATCGTATTTGGAAAAGTTGAAAGAAAGGGATGGATAAGTTTGGGGGGAAAAAATAAAATGATAGATCCCTAATTATATAAGTCGTCTTCGTACTACCTATAGCAATCCTCACTAATCTCCCCATTTGATATAGTTTCTGTAATTTCGTCATAAACTGCTTGCTTTTAGAGCACTTCTCAGGGGTCACATAGAGTAGTTTCAGGTTACTAGAACTAGAACATAATAATAAGTGTGATGCTCTTAGAGCACTTCTCAGGGGTCAGATAGAGCAATTTCAGGTTACTAGAACTAGAACATAATAATAAGTGTGATGCTCTTTGAGCACTTCTCAGGATTCACATAGAGCAATTTCAGGTTACTAGAACTAGAACAAAATAATAAGTGTGATGCTCTTGGAGCACTTATCAGGATTCACATAGAGCAATTTCAGGTTACTAGAACTAGAACATAATAATAAGTGTGATGCTCTTAGAGCACTTCTCAGGGGTCACATAGAGCAATTTCAGGTTTCTAGAACAAGAACATAATAATAAGTGTGCTGCTCTTAGAGCACTTCTCAGGAGTCACATAGAGCAATTTCAGGTTTCTAGAACAAGAACATAATAATAAGTGTGATGCTCTTAGAGCACTTCTCAGGATTCACATAGAGCAATTTCAGGCTACTAGAACTAGAACATAATAATAAGTGTGATGATCTTAGAGCACTTCTCAGGAGTCACATAGAGCAATTTCAAGTTACTAGAACTAGAACATAATAATAAGAATGATACTATTAGAGCACTTCTCAGGAGTCACATAGAGCAATTTCAGGTTACTAGAACAAGAACATAATAATAAGTGTGATGCTCTTAGAGCACTCCTCAGGATTCACATAAGCAATTTCAGGTTACTAGAACTAGAACATAATAATAAGAATGATGCTTTTAGAGCACTTCTCAGGGGTCACATAGAGCAATCAGGTTACTAGAACTAGAACATAATAATAAGAATGATGCTTTTAGAGCACTTCTCAGGGGTCACATAGAGCAATTTCAAGTTACTAGAACAAGAACATAAAAATAATAAGTGTGATGCTCTTAGAGCACTTTTCAGGGGTCACATAGAGCAATTTCATATTACTAGAACTAGAACATACTAATAAGAATGATGCTCTTAGAGCACTTCTCAGGATTCACATGGAGCAATTTCAGGTTACTAGAACAAGAACAAATAATAATAAGTGTGATGCTCTTAGAGCACTTCTCAGGAGTCACACAGAGGAATTAGAGCACTTCTCTCAAGGATTATATAGAGCAATTTCAGGTTTCAAGAAGAAAAATAAACATTGATTATGGCTCTAAGAACATTTCTAAGTGACCACATAAAGCTATATCAGGTTACAAGAATAAAAATAAACATTAATTAAGACTATAAGAACATTTCTAAGTGACCATATAAAGCTATATCAGGTTACTTCTGGTTTCCTTAATGTTTTGCGAAGAAAAAGTTTCTTTTCAAAAGCAAAAATCGACTCTGAAGTCTCATTCTTTGAGGGTAACCCTGCATGATAACAGATGATACCAGGGGTGGGCTTGAATAGCCAAAATATACCTGTTCGACATTTCTTTGAGAATTCTAGATTTTTCTTCCTTTCCTGTTGAACTGTTCAAAACCGCAGCATTTACACCAAGAGTCTGAAATTTGAAAAAATTTGTAACTTATAGAAAATGTCATTTATCAATTGTTCAGTTTTTTTTCTCACCTTTTTATACTTCTAAACACACAAAAATTCACATGTTTACCCCTTAAGTAGGTACTTAACTTTTTTGAAGTAAAGCAAAAAATTTAAAATTTTATCGAACTAATAATGTTTTGATAAATAGATAAAAATGGATGATATGAGAATATTTCGAACAATCACAAGACATCATTTAAAAAAATGACATTTAAAATTTTTAGAATGTACTTTTTTCATTCATTTTATATATATATATATGTATATATGTATATATGTATATATGTATATATGTATATATATATATCTATATATGGTACTTTGCACGGGGTGTATATTTGGAAAAAATAGAATTGATTTTTTTATATTTTCTGATAACATGTTTAAAAGGCAATGTTGGACACGGTATTCTACAAATGGTTGGGCACTCGAAAATATCACTTATTCATTTATCACTTGAATCACTTATTCTGAAGGGCATTTACACCACAATGAGCATAGTCGTACTATCTATCTATATACATTAAGTTTGTCTGTTTGTCTGTCCGTTTGTTAATTGTTTGTCCGATTATAACTCAGGAACCTCTGGACCTATTTTGATTGGGAAACTCGGGAGACCCACGGGAATGTTATTAGCTTGGTTTTGAGATTCTAAGTTGAGTTGGTCAACTTTAATCGCGAAAATTTAGTTTTTCGGTAAAATGGGATGGGAATAGTTCTTCCCAGGTTACACGGCATGAGTAACTTTTAGTAACCTGGGCAGAGCTGGGTTCCCAGGCAAGTATATTTATATATGTGTTTCCTATAGCAAAACCACTAGACCAAATTGCCTGAAAGTTTTTGAGGAAACCTTTGGGTATACCGGAGATTACATAGGCTAAAAGAAACAGTTTTTAATTGATATTTTTGATTTTTTTTTCGAATTCCAAAGACACCGGCCTGGCACTTTAGCTTGTATATTTCAAAGATGAAAGAAATAGCAAGACCTGAAAGGAAACCCGGTATGGAATCCTCATCAACATGCACCCTGCTGTTTTATGTTTGTAAGTTTTATGTATTTCATGTTTGTTTGTGTGTGTAAACTGTGTTCAATAACCTTCCGAACCGTACCCCTCAGGGAGATGCAACAAAGATAAAATATGTGACATTAACCCTCCGAGAAACAAAGGATATGTATCCTATTCATCAGAATAACCGTTTCGATACAGATGGTCTTTTTTTCGCTCAGATAAGGACGATTTTTAAAATACCATTGGCAACGCTGGGCCTTAAATGTATTAGACAAAAAGATGTTAAAAAAGAAAACCTGGAGAGATATAAGTTGGTCTTCCATTAAAGATATTAGCGGTGAAACAACCAGAGTCAAACCTTAAAAAACTTTTTATTTTGAATAAATAAATTAAACATCTTCTCACAGCTTCAGGGGTTAATAAATATGTCCTTTTCTAAGTTGATAAATAAATTGCGATGTTTATAAGAGTTGATTAGCCTTATTTTTTAGTTAATAAATATTTGCTTTCAGTTGCTTATTTAATTGCATTTTTGGAGTTGAAACAAAAAGCGTTTCTTTAGAGTGGAAAAATAAATCGTGTTTTGTAGGTAAATTTGATAATTAACTTCAATAAGACATCATCTCGTGGAAAGCTCAAGGGGAAAATACTTACCTTCTGAGATTACAGCTGGAAGTTGATATGTTAAACTCTTTCCCCCTCCTAAATAGAAGCACAGTAAGTTTGTAGAAGGGTTACCCCCCCCCCCCCCCCATGTATACAGAAGCACAAGGGTGTATAGGGTTAAACAAGTTTCCTTCTCCTAAGCAGAAACATATGGATGTAATGTAGTGTACAGAATTAAACTTTTTCCTCACCCCTTGACAAAAACAAAGGGGTGTATAAGGTTAAACTCTTTCTCACCCCTTAAAAAAAACACAGGGGTGTAAAGGGCTAAAATCCCCCCCCCCCCCTCAGTGTTCACTGTACTGTATGGGTTGAACTCTTCCTCCCCCTAAACAGGAAAACAGTGGTGTATAGGGTTAAACTCTCCCTCCCCCCAAAACAGAAACACAGAGGTGTATAGAGCTAAACTTTTCCTCCCTCCATGCAGATACATAGGAGTGTTCTGTATAGGGTTAAACTCTTCCTCCCCCCTTAACAGAAACACAGGAGTGTATAGGATCAAACTCTTCCCCTCCCCCTAAACAGAAACACAGGGGTGTATGGGGTTTAAAAGGTGTGTTCTGTATAAGGTTGAACTCTTCCTACCCCCTGAACAGAAACACAGGGGTGTATAGGGTTAAACTCAGTTCTACACAAGGTTAATAAAATCATAATTCATGTATTTCTAATGAAAAAATTTGATTGATGAAACTCTGAAGGGACACATTAAATTGATTAGATTTAAAAATATTATTAAAAAATCTAACAAAACTTTTAAAAAGTTAAAAAAAACAGGCTTATTATTGATAATGATAAATGCTACGGAGAAGTTTACTTTTAGAAGGAAAATTTTCTTGTAAAAAATACCTGTTGGCATAATGAGAAGGACGTCATGACCGCTCATACTGAAATAAAACTTTTAAGAGAAGAAAAACAAATTTCTTAGGGTAGGTTATACATTCCCAAGAGTGTTTAGACATGGAATGTATAGACACAGAATTTCTTCTGGATACATATTAGGGCTCCATCTTTCAGTCCAAGCGTGTCTCAGACATAGTCTTTGATCTATCTGACGAATGCTTCCATTCTCCATCAATTACGAAATCTGCTAAAATTCCTTTTACTATTTCCAATTTTAGGATCTATGAAAAATCTATTTCAATTGTTGAAGAAAAACTTTACTTTCCCCCTCCTTCAGTCAAAAATATGAATATTTGTGGACAAAATTAAAAGGTTTATTTTTAAGTTTTTAATTTTCTTTAATAATTTTTGATTTGGATTTATTATCAAAATTGTCTCTTTTCTTTTAAAGCTACAATCCTCCCCCCCCCATCTTCGAAAATATATACCACATGGTTATCGAAAATCCAGCTTTTTATGAGTTAATAAAAAAATCATATAAAAAACGCGTCACCTGGCGTTAATAACAGGAAGCTGATCAGCTCTATAATTGTCCAGTCCAAACACATTTACTGAATTAAGACATATTGGATAAAAATAAAAACAGAACAGAACTCCCTTCGACCAAGTCCCTTTCCTGCCTTTTCGTTTGAACACATATTTTTTGAAAAAAATATTGCAAAAAAAATTAAGATTTTTAAAATTTTTCTCGTCGAACTTTAATCATTTTTTTGATTTTCCACAAAAAATCAAAATCAAATCAATTCTTGATTAAATCAGACATTTACAAAAGTTGGTTTATCCAAATGAAATATTATCATCAATCATCATAATTGGATAATTATTAAAAACAAATATTAAATGTGTTTCTTTTAACTGGATTGATTTAAAAGAACCCAAATGTGAGCAGCAAATATTTGACTTTCAAATATTATACAGGATTTTTTGCACCGCAATCATGTGCACAATATTTATTTTTTGCATAGCAATCATGTGCACAATATTTATTTTTTGCATCGCAATCATGTGCAAAATATTTATTTTTTGCACCGCAATCATGTGCACAATATATTTATTTTTTGCAAAAATTGGAAAAATCCGGAAATGCCGATAATACCTCGTGCAGCGTCAAGTCTGGAAGACCACTCGAAATCCTGAAACACATTGTACGTGAATTTTTTTATTCTATTTTACTTTTAGTTGAAAAATCATCCCTCCTAAATCCCCCTCTCTTTCTAAAAACTAATTTTATTTCTCAGTACTTTAGAAGGGTTTAACGCTTATAAGAAGAAAAGGAAGATTTTAAAGAAACAATATTTAAACATTTTAGGTAAATGTTAACCTTGTCCAATTTTACTTTTTTTTGATAAACTTATTAAAATAATTTTTTTTCCTCAAAAAATATAAGTTTGAAATTTTTTTTTCAATCTTCAAATAAGATTAAAAATAAGGTATAATTTCAAAAAAGCTCATTATATTTTAGCAAATTTCTTGTTGATTTCTTTTCTGACCAGCCTCCCTTTAAGCAGCTAGAAATCTTGAAGGAACTGTAGACATAATCTAGAGTGACCTCCCATTTAAACAGAAACAATAATAGAAATTATCAGAATTTAAAACAACACTTTACAAGAAGAGTAAAACGACGTTTTATTCATTTTGTTAGTCCGAGGTTTAAAGGGTACCGTGTTGTGAATCGGATATGCCACTATTATTGGAGGGTCACTTAAATATACGTCTACAGTCCCTTTAATATTCACCTGGCGTCCCCAATTCTTCTCTTTTAACTTCTCGGTCTCTTCATCCTGCTGCTTTTCTATCAACTCATTCCTCTTCCTCTCCAACCCTCTCCTCCTCCCCTCTAACATCTTGATCTGGAGCTTCACAGACCTCCAGATTCAATCCTAGTTCACTCCCAACCAGAGGATAAAATATTTTATAAAATTACATCCAACATGTTTATCAGCAGTATCACAGACCAGCATGATTCATCCTATAGTTTAATCTCAACCAGAGGGTTTATATCAGGGGATTTTATTTAGGAGAATATCACCCCCCCCCCCCACCATCAATCCAAAGTCTTAATCTGCAGTATCACAGACCTAGATTATCCTTGCTAGCTTTCCTCTCAACCATTAGCTAAATATTTTTAAGAAAAATATTTTTTATAATTTTCTGTCAATTTTATAATACTTGTCACATTAAGAATTAATTAATTTCTATTAAGTGCTTTGCGGATTACTATTACAGTAACGATGAAACATGATGAGCAATGTTGAACCATGTTGAACAATGTTGAACCACGTTGAACCATGTTGAACCACGTTGAACCAAGTTGAACAATGTTGAACCACATTGAACAATGTTGAACCACGTTGAACAATGTTGAACCACGTTGAACCACATTGAACAATGTTGAACCACGTTGAACAATGCTGAACCATGTTGAACAATGTTAAACCACGTTGAACCACGTTGAACAATGTTAAACCACGTTAAACAATGTTGAACCACGTTGAACAATGTTGAACAATGTTGAACAATGTTGAACCACGTTGACCCATGTTAACCCACGCTTAACCAGGTTAAATCACGCTGAACCCACGCTAAACCTCGTTGAACCACATTGAGACATGTTAAACCACGTTGAAACACGTTGAAACACGTTGAAACATGTTGAACCACGTTTCCCAAATTAATATAAATCACAAATATTCAAAAAAAGAAAACTCTTATCATTAAATATTCAGGTTTAGCTGCGCAGTCCATCATGGAAAATTTCGTGAAAATAACAAGATTTTATTCAAAGAATATTTTTAGTGGTTTTTACTAAAATACTAAAATGGCGAACGGGAAAAAAACATTCTGTTCACCATTCACCATTTGCATTTAGTGTTGCAACAAAAGTTCGTTTAGTATTGTGTGAATCGTGTTAGGCTCGTTTAGTATTGTGTGTGGCTCGTTTTTAGCTTTTTTTTCTCGTTTTTAAATAAATCTTCTGTCAGGGTTAAGTACAAAAAGCAAATGTTTGAAAATAAAAATTAAAAACATTTGCTTTTCTAACACTTCTTGCATTTCATTTAATGAGTTGATTTAAAAGCTTTTGCTAAAACAATTTGCTTTATAACCACATCGTATGTACTTAATTATTGATTAACTTTCGTCTTCCTATTCCACAGTTTGCTGGTTCTCACTGTAGTTAAACTACAGGGTGTCCCACGACACATGACAGTTGGGTGAACTGATTTGAAGGTCTTCTGTATACTGTACATATAGACTTTTTGCAGTTTATTTCGTTAACAAAATCTTCTCAAATATATTTTCCCGTCGTACAAAATTTTTTATTTCACTCTTAAGATCAAACAACATTTCAAATTATGGACAAAGACATTTTAATATATTCATCAACTGTCATTTTTCGTAGGACACCCTGTACTTTTCACCAATCAATAATCTAATCTTAAAATAGTAAAAGGGTCAGTTTATGAGTTTAGGAAGAATCCCTGAGTTCGGAATCAATTTTCTTAATTTGAGTTGGATAATCTGAGTTCAACTGAGTTGGATAATCTGAGCTCAACTGATCCGAGATTTCATCTTCCTCAACAATTTCTACGTCAGACATTTTATCTGAAACAAAACGAACTAGAATCCTGAATCATGTCCGCAGAGGATATATTCTTTTAGGAATTACGCCCCCCCCCCCTTCTCACCCCCCCCCCCCCGCCGCAGCAAACTTAGTAAGAGCGGTCATTAGAAACTTATAAAATAAACCTGCTTTTTAAGAAAAACATCAGATTCTGAAAAGGGGGCTGGGAGGCAAAAAACAAAAACCATTTCCACTTAAACCCATCCTTTTTCTCAAATTCAGGGGAAAAAATTATTTTACATATATCGAGCTTGACAGGTCACGTAATAATTGGCCAACAGTTTCTTTAAATTGCAAAAACGCTCAGTTCTTTGACCTCATACAACGTAAAATAGAAGCGTAATAAATCTTACAATAATGTAAAATATAAGCGTAGTACATCTTACAATAACGTAAAATAGAAGCGTAATACACCTTTCAATAATGTAAAATAGAAGCGTAATACCTCATACAAAAATGTAAAATAGAATCGTAATACACCTTACAATAATGTAAAATAGAAGCGTAATACATCTTACAATAATGTAAAATAGAATCGTAATACACCTTACAATAATGTAAAATAGAAGCGTAATACATCTTACAATAATGTAAAATAGAAGCGTAATACATCTTACAATAATGTAAAATATAAGCTTAGTACACTTAACAATTTTGTAAAATAAAAGCGTAATACAAGACCCAATCTTAGACCCAACTCTGACGACAGCTTGTGGAGCTTTTGTCACGTGATTGACAGCTGCGAGATCTTAGGCTCGACTTAAGGAGTTAAGCCCAATGAAAATAAAACCGCCCTTGGTTGGTTTTAGTGAAGAATAAGGCTCAATGTTGGGTCTTATTCTCATCAAAACCCAGAATGCACCAATTCCTACAATGAAAATCCGCCAAATACAACATTAAACCGGTTTTATGAACTAAATTCTGTTGAAAAATAGATGCAACTTAAATTCGAAAGCCCGAGCCGTAAATAAGGCTCCACAACAGCTTAGACCAGAGTCGTATTTTCTTGAATTTTTTAAATCGCCGACTCAGGATTACCCACAAAGGATTAGACTTGTCCAAATATGAAGGTAATGACTGTTACAGTTTGAAATATTTCTTCCCACTTGAATAGTCTATAAATGACTAATTTCCCCATTATCGTCATTAAAGCCTAATCCTTCATAGATAACCCTGGAAAATAAATTTCGAAATTTGCCCTCACCTTTACAGATCAAGAAGCTTATTCTTAGCTAGAAGTAAATGACAACATATCGTTTTCCGAAATGGGATTTACAATAAAATAGATATAATAGAATAATTAACACATCCAAAGATAGGTCTGTGCATCAACTCGATATCTTCCAAGCAGCAAAAAGATTGACAGTTCCATGTAAACAATAAGTACTTTGTACAGGTATCGTGTTATACTTGTCACCCATCATTTCAAAAAAGATTTAAGATCTTTAAAGACTTAAATTTCCGCGTCAATATTCATAATAAAATTTCCACATCCTCAGAAAATAACCATAGTATTCTGAAATAATCTGGTCGAAATTAACTTTATAATTTTTATTAAAACATAAATGCAACACAATTACATATCATAATATGCGTATCACAATTCACGATATACCGAAACTAAATAAAATATTTAAATTTTAATAAATAAATTCTAATACTAATTATTTCCAGACCACCATTTATACAATTTCAGTGAAACATTTACAATAACATGCACATGATACAGTGAACATTCATACCTTTAGCCTTTATCAGAAATAGAGAGCAATTGATAAATTAATAGAGTGCTCAGTTTTAATCTTATTACAAACAGCAGTACTAACAAAACTTCCTTCGTCTTTTTTTAGACAAACCCACACTCTAAAGAAGCTAACATATTTTCACTTAAGAAAATTAACAATTTTTGGTCAAATATTAAATTTCCATGTTTTACTTCAAATGACCCCCCCCCCACCCCTCTTAAAGTAAGTGACATTTAAATACATGTTTAAATGTAGAAGTTATTAAAAACTTAAGACCAACGAACAGTTTTATAACCCAGGGCCAGAAATTTAACAGAATTACATTTGTGAGAACACTTCAAAAAAAAAAATAAGTTCGGATGGAAGTTCCTTAAACCATCCTTACGCATTTAGATGACTCACTAACAATTGAATGAATCGTTCATCCGTTAGAAGAACCGTTAATCCGTTGAAAAAACGGTTAGATTGAAAATTTAATGTTATTAAATCGCTGAGAAGATTGTTAGCTCGCCGAGTAGAACGTTCATATTTTCTACACCATCAATTCGTTGAATCCCCGTTCTTCTGTTGGATGGCAGGTTGGATGACAGCGGAGGGTTGAATGATATGAGATGTGTTCTGGACAGAGTTTACATGACCCTAGAGGTTGTGTAAGCTTCGGGGAAGGAGAAGGAATGCTTCCCATGTGACATAATCCTAAAATATCATCATTAAATTTCATTCAGTTGTTTTCCACTGTGCTTATTTTAACAAGGAAGAGGGCACTGCAAATTTATGAGAATTAATGGGTAAAAATATGCGACCCCATCGCTACTTTTCTTACGCAAAAGTTTTTTTTATTTATTCAGTTACATATTAAATTAAAGAACATGTGTTCTTTTAAAAAGCTCTTCAATGCAAGGAGTTATGATTGAAAACAATTAANTGGGTGAGAAAATATGAAAAATAATTCATGGTTTATTTTGATTAAAAATCCCCCAAATAAGCAAATCTATTAAAAACGATCAGAAATTTCCTGCAATCTTAATTTAATAGGCTTTATTCGCGAAATTGGATAAACACAAACATGTGGATATATGGGATATGAAAACTATCATCTTTTTTTCTCCATAATTCCAATAAAAATTTTCCTGATCATATCCAAAAATTACAAAGAAGGAATAGTAAAGGTTCTTTCTCCAAAAATATCATCCCCAATTGTCTATCTTTAAAGGTTTTTTTTTCGCAGAAATAGTTCAGTGACTAAAAACGAAAAAAATTCCCCTTTGATGCCAAATATTTTTTTTTCATTCCAGATCATTACAAGTGTTAAAAAGAACACCCTACAAGTACTTGAAATATAAATCCCAATAATCTCATGTTGGCTTTACCTAGGTAGGTTTCCAGCGTTAGGAATAATATTCCAAGATAGTGTCATTGTCACGTTCTTGTGTGCAAGCAGACCGTTTCCATCATCCCAGAAGTAGTACCTTAACACCACAAAATTAATTTAAATAAACTCTCCTTTTGTTATCAACTCTATTAATAATTTAAAAACAGCCTACGGGTGATTACATCCTAGTTCTTATTTGAATTAAGAAACTTGTAAGTCATAGATCAAAAGAATAAGGCAGAAAAACTTTCAAAAAATTTTCCTTAAAAAATTTCTTCTTTAAAAACAGATGATACTCGGTAGATAATGACGTCATAATGCATAATTTTAATGAAGAAAAACGTCTCCGGGAATGAACAATGATCATTTCAGATTTTTGCCGAAACTTGAACAAACTTAATCTACTAAAACATGGGCGTATTCATGGTTTGAAATTTAATAACAAAAAGTAATAAATAGACCGTACCGCAGCTTAAATTTAAGCCGCGGCTTAAATATGGTTGGTTCCACTTAAAATTGTATTTAATGTTTTAAGATTTAAGCCGGTTTTTGGCAGATTTAAGACGCGGCTCTGGTTTCTTAACTTCCAATAAGAAAAACAAAAATCCGACATATTTTTCACAAAAAAAAACATGTGGTTGGATAAAAAAATCATTTGATTCAAAGTTCTGAAGATAAGAGTCTCAACTCCACAGAATAGATTTTTCGATTCACAACAATACAATTTTAAGTCTTGAATAATCATTGATCAGGAATGAAAAAAAATATCATATTTTTTACTTGAAAAAAATTTATTTTTTAATCATTAATTCTCCAAACTCCATAGAAGTGACTATATCAGAAGAACACTTTAAAGGCTAGGCTAACTACAATATCTTGCACAATATATTGGTCAGATAAAGGTTTCAGATACCGTTGTGTGTTGAGCATCAACTCATTCCCTTTACAAGAAGCAAATATAAAGATAACCCTTATTTCTTCACGAGATTTGGTCGACTTAAAACTCAAATTTACTGCTTCTATATTCAGGTTTTGTTGACAAAAATTGCTGGTGAAAATACAGTAGACAAATCTCTTTAAAAATCTGGATTGAACCAGATTAAAATTGGCGCATTTTCCTCCGGATAAACTTACTTAGTGTTCATACTCTTGTAATCTAGGAGTGCATTCTCGCCGCGTAGAATTATCTTGTCCCACAACACAACCTGAACAAAACATTGAACTGATATCGTCGTCGTTTAAATTAATCCTCCTAAACACTAAAAACAAGATTAGAAATGAAAGGAGTATTAATAGAAAAATTAATAAATTTTATAACTGAATTGAAAACTAATGGAAAAACAAGGATAAGTTTAGAAAAATTCGATTTAACTACGAAAATAAAATATGCGAAAGTTAATTTTAGTATTAGTTTATTTTTTTTTGGTGTGACTAGGCCACAGGGACTCAATGAAAACTAATACTTAAGTTAATCGTTTGCGTTGTAAAACTTGGGATTGATCCCCATCATATCCAGACGTACGGATTACATCAATTCCTCTTAGATATCCTGTGACAATAAGTTATCATGGATATTTGAAAATACCTGGTTGAGTTGGTTGCTGGGTGTCTGGTATTCAGCTGTTAATGCATATTTTAAACTACCTGGTTGAGTTGGTTGCTGGGTGTCTGGTATTCAGCTGTTAAAGCATATTTTAAACTACCTGGTAGAGTTGGTTGCTGGGTATCTGGTATTCAGCTGTTAAAGCATATTAGAAAATACCTGGTTAAGTTGGTTGCTGGGTGTCTGGTATTCAGCTGTTAAAGCATATTTAAAAATACCTGGTTGAGTTGGTTGCTTGGTGTCTGGTATTCAGCTGTTAAAGCATATTTAAAAATACCTGGTTGAGTTCGTTACTGGGTGTCTGGTCTTCAGCTGTTAACATATTTGAAAATACCTGGTTAAGTTGGTTGCTGGGTGTCTGGTATTCAGCTGTTAAAGCATATTTTAAACTACCTGGTTGAGTTCGTTGCTGGGTGTCTGGTATTCAGCTGTTAAATACAAGAACAACTGCTTCACGTTCCAGTTGAACAGCGGGTTCAAGTCCGCCTGAAATATTGAAACTTATTTATTCTCGTAAAATTGGGAAATATATGCAAATAAAAAAATTTCAACAACTGCAATAGTGCTTTATACCCGGATCTTATTCCGGATCCGCATTGGAACAAAATGGATTCTAAGCTCTGTTCAACAAGATGTACAAAATTCGGTAAAATGACACTCTCCCCCCCCCCCTGACCTCCCTTCCTAAAAAAGTTTAGCATCATAGAATACCTATCTAATTTTACTTAAATCCTTAAGACTCTAAACACGCGAGGATGTCAAAAAACTGTTTGTTTTTTTTAATTTTGATCCGGATCCGGTTTAAATTTACTGGTTTTTCTTTAACAAAGCAGAATTTTCAAATTTTTTATCTTAATTCTGTTCGCTTATTTTTATGCAAAACTTTATAAGGCATTCAGAAATCGGGAAATTTCTCCAATTTTTCAATAGTTCAATTTTGAGTTAGGAGTTTTTTTTCTTCAGTTTTTGGTTGATATTTAGCCCGTTGGATCCGGATCCGTGGAACCGCGGATCCGGATCCAGGAAGCAAAAAAATTGCGGATCCAACTGGTTTTAAAAAAGCAAGTATGGAAAATCTCAGCTTGATGAAAAATCAAAAACGAACATAATTTTCAGTCAGAAACGGTATAAATAGCAATATACAATATTGGATTAAAGAGCTTTCTAATCCACAAATTTTAAGGCGCCCTGAAATTTAAGAACTGATAAAAGGATGCCCGATCATGAAAGTAGAGCATTAGAAATTCTACCTGGAGATCGAAGGTGAGAAATCCTAAATCATTCTTCTCCTTGCCGGCAGCATAATCAGGTACATTCTTCACTACAACCTTTACTGTGTCTATATCAGCGTGCACCTGGAAATCAGAGTGCAACATCCTAACTTAAGACATAATTCACCCCACCCCTCCCCTCGAGATAACATTTTCAAATGGTGGGCGGTGCACTAAAATATAGACAAATTAAATATATTTTAGTGTGGCGTTTCAATTTCCCGATTCGGAATTTGGGACCATTCTTAAGCAAAACCTTGCCAGAGAAAATGCGTGGAACTAATTCAAAAAATGATATGAAAATTCAACGTTATTAGCGATCTAGAAACTAGAACTGCTCTTAGAGATGTCCTACACCCACACACCAAAATTGAAGTGACTATACTAAATCAAAAATGAAGTGATGTCTTAAGATTTGTACTTCCGTTTTTTTCCCACTTGATTGTTAAAGAAATCCTGCTAAGAAGATACATCATCGACATTATTTTTATCACAGCCATCACAAGAGAAAATGTGCAAAATTAATAATTTTTTGAGATTTCCTGTACAGGGTTAAGTACAACTTTTGCTATGAAGTGTTAAAAGTAATTCAAAACATAGCTTCCAGGCAAATAACTTTTTCCTCTCGTTTTTCACATCAACAAAATTTAAAAAGAGAAATTAAATGAAACTTCCTTAAGAATACGACGTAAATTTACTCTTCACGACACCGGAGTCGAAAAATACAGAAACGTTAAATTAATATTTTCCATTAAGATAAAACTAAGCTTTCTGAGAGGGATTGTCTTCATTGTTTCTTCGAAAAGAGTCGTGGTTTAAAAATTTTCAATTTAAGATGAGATGCCGTTGGTTATTGAATTATGTGAACAACGAATGATCAAAGTGGGGGGTAAATTAAGATTTTAAGACCATCTTAGGGGGGAAAATAGAAAGGTAAGTTTCGGCCACCCTGTAAATCATAATTATCCCGACATTGAACGAATAAAACCATAAAAAAATGTTGTGAACTTCTGGAGAAAATGATTTTTCCAGATAATTTACATCCCTGCACTAAAGTTATTTGAATAACTTTATACCTGGTATTCATTGAAGAATGTTGACAGGAAGCATAGAAACGTAAGACTGGCCAGAACAGACATAGTGTACGCAACCAGGGCATTGGCCCGCGTAAGTGCGGTGTGCATTTTATCTGAAATGACGCGTCCCGGTTAATGTTGGTTTAGAATTCGCGTGTTTTTACGACAATATCCATGATGACGCTTGGATCTCGAGGTTGATGAACCACTACTTCTCCTCGGGCTTGTTGAACACGTAGGTCAACCCACACTTTCCACAGTATTGCCTTAACAGGAACAAGTTTTAAAATGATGTGAAAACCAGTTCTGAGATCTCTCATGAGCCGAAAATAAAATAATTATTGGCATCTATCTATTTTCTAAATGTTAAACTGAAACATGATATTAAAAAATCGGGTATTTTGATTCTCCGATATTAGATCCGGATCTAATATTTCGCAGAATAGATGAAACCATATCATATCATGGAATGCAAGAATGTAAGGCAAGGAAAGGCAATTGCGGTTGTGAATACTCTGTGTACATATTGAAACCAGTTCTCTCTGGGCGGAATTTGTAAACAATAATAGATGCATCAGTGTTCGTTTAGTATCCGAGGAGGTTAAAAGCATTAAATTTTGATAATTTTGATAATTCACATAATAATTTCCTGTGACCAGAATATTTCATTGATTTTTTATGTGAATGATGGATCCCATGTCAGGCTTCGACATCCGTCTTGTGTTTACATTAACGCCCAGAGACAGTACACTACAGTACTAAAGATGTGTACACTTCTGAAATGACTTTCCTTGCCTTACATCCTTGATGGAATGTAACAACTGCTCCAAAATCCAAGATTTGGATCTAATGACTCCTGAAATACGACTTGAACGAGTTGAGAGAAAAATATCTGAACGGAAAGAGAAAATATTCATCTTTCAAGCATTGAGTAGGGAGAAGGGCCGGAAGGAAGGGGAGGGCCGGAAGGAAGGGGAGGGGTGGATAAATTCAATGTTAGGATGTTACCTGTCGAAATGAGCAGCCATGAAAACACCGGCACCACATTCTTCAGCAGGACACTCACGTCTCAGACGGTTGATCTTTCCGTTATCATCAACCTAGAATATCAACATTTACTAAATACAACGGTAAACCTTTACGTTTTCATCAACCTAGAATATCAACCTTTACTAAATACAACGGTTTATCTTGCCGTTTTCATCAACCTAGAATATCAACCTTTACTAAATACAACGGTTAATCTTTCCGTTTTCATCAACCTAGAATATCAACCTTTACTAAATACAACGGTTTATCTTTCCGTTTTCATCAACCTAGAATATAAACCTTTAGTAAATACAACGGTTAATCTTTCCGTTTTCATCAACCTAGAATATCAATCTTAACTAAATACAACGGTTAATCTTTCCGTTTTCATCAACCTAGAATATCAGTCTTTTAGAGATGCAACGGTTAATCTTTCCGTTTTCATCAACCTAGAATATCGACCTTTACTAAATACAACGGTTAATCTTTCCATTTTCATCAACCTAGAATATCAACCTTTACTAAATACAACGGTTTATCTTTCCGTTTTCATCAACCTAGAATATAAACCTTTACTAAATACATCGGTTAATCTTTCTGTTTTCATCAACCTAGAATATCAACCTTAACTAAATACAACGGTTAATCTTTCCGTTTTCATCAACCTAGAATCTCAGTCTTTTAGAGATGCAACGGTTAATCTTTCCATTATTTTAAACCTAGAATATCAAACTTTAATAGATTTAACGGTCAACATTTCCGTTATTGTCAACCTAGAATATCAACCTATAAATATGTATATATATATCGGTTGAATTTTCCATCAAGTTGGAATAATAGCCTTTAATAGATACAAACGTTGATTTTTCCGCAACCACATAGGATTTTAAATCCAAGAAAATTCTATTGCATTTTATCTTAAATTAAGCTAAAATATTACGATCAATAGTAAGATATTTAGTAATCTTCACCCACCCCTCACTTTGGAACAGATATTTATATGCTATTAATAGGACTTGATAAAAACAAATCTTTGAATTGGCTAAAAACGGATCTATTTTTTAACAGAGTAAATAATTGAGATCCTTAATTAAAATTATTCATTCTTTAAGAGCATGAACTGAAAGATCAAAAACAAGATTATTTAAGAACTGAAATAAGTTTTAATATCAAAAACGTGAGCAACGTCCATTGGTCCAAGTAAAATGACAATTTCACAATCAAATTAAATTTTGCAATTTAATTCCTTGAGATTGAAAGTTCAAGAGCTAAAATATTAGGAATATATCTTAGAACGTTAATAACACATTTTCAGATTACGATTATATCACTTCTAAAGGAAAGTTCATTAAAAATGTTACAGAATAATTATAATTTATTAATTTATTAGCATTAGTATTCCGTTTCCAAATTTAAATAAAATGTACCAACCTTGTAGTACTTAAGCACGGCGAGCTTGACCTTCTTGTGCTTGTGCTTGATCTTCTTGGGAGTGGTGTAGTTCTTCTTCTTCCTCTTCTTACCACCACCCCTAGGATAATCAAAACTTACATCCGGTTTCTGTCTCTTTTTATCTAATTTTCGTCAGAACAGAAAACCGCTCGGGCCCAAATATTTTGTAGCAACTCGCATGACAAACGTAGTGGTTATTTTAGAAAGTGAAATATAAATAAGCAGAAAAAAACAGTCGATTTTTACAATGCCGCCAAAGATTTATTGCTGAGCTGTACGAGAGGTTGCAAACGTTCAAGCACTGAATGCAAATATCCAAGGTTTTAAACGTTTGACCCTCTAGTTAATTAATTTCGATGAAGGACCTACCTCAGCCTGAGAACAAGGTGAAGGGTAGATTCCTTCTGAATATTATAATCAGATAGAGTTCTTCCATCCTCTAGCTGCTTGCCAGCGAAGATCAATCTCTGCTGATCTGGGGGAATTCCCTCCTTATCCTAAGCAAGCAATATAAATGAGTTTTTGCTGGAACAGGATGATAGGGTGAAGGATCTCAATTATTAATTAAAAGTATTCTTATTCTCTTATCAAATCCTCGCAAGAAAAAATTCATTGCTTTATCATAACAGTAGAAAATTGAACATTTCGTGTATTTCAGATATTCGGAGGTGAGCGAAAATACATTTGATATAATTGCAATTGCTCTTTTTAAGATGAGGTTGATCAAATAGCCGTTTCAGATTATTTGAACAGAATTCTATTTTAATTACCTGAATCTTGGCTTTAACATTCTCGATGCTATCACTAGCCTCAACCTCAAGGGTGATCGTCTTCCCCGTGAGGGTCTTGACGAAGATCTGCATGTTAACTTCTGAAAATAGTTGTTTTTAAGGAACCTCAGATTTTACTGGAAAACCCAATTAGTGGTAAATAATTATTTCTAAACCTCGTTCAGAGAAATGAACAAAGTCACGTTGCCTTGAACATTAAAATTAAAATCAACATTAAAAAGAGAATAAGTACAAAACTATCCTCGTGTCTTTTCTTCCGTCTATAACACAGAAAGTACAAGTCTCTTGGGTTTCTGGTTCTCTTTCCGTTTTCGATACAGCACAAGACCCTTCTCCTGTACCCTGATACAGCACAATACTCTTCTTCTGCATGTACCCTGATACGCTACTACTGTATCCTACTCCAATATCTTATGATGATGCCGAGCAAATGTTTCAGCAACCAAGAGCGGAAATATGAGGGTAGTTTCTCCATAAACCTTCACAGGCTTTGCATCTTTCCTAAACAGAAAATTATTTTAAAAGGAATAGATGTCTTAACACTTTTCAACCAGACAAATTGCATTTAAGTAGTTAATTCAAGTAGAACTAATTACTACCTCTTGCTATTCATTAAATCTGGTCCCTTATTTAGTAACACAATGTGTATTAACAATGAATTCTGTCAAATCAAAGGCTTTTAAAATTTTAGATTTGGTTACATAACTTCATCGAAACAACAAAAAAAATTTACTTTGGCTACATAAAACTATGGATCCTCTTTTCTTTTAAAACTTTTAAATTTGATTTAGGATGGGATCTACAAATCGACAAATTATAAATAGGGGGGGGCGGGGGGGGGGGGTAAATGTCGAACAAAGGTGTAATTGAGACAGGAGATTTTTATAAAAATTTTGGCCGAGGCAATTAAACTTAAATTAAAATGGTAATTTAACTCTGGCAGATCTTTGACTGTATTAAAATATAATTACGATAAATATCTGAAGTGGCTTATCCATTCTAAAGATAAGTTATAAGTATATACTTGAGATTAGATTTATGAGAACTGACGCGGAAAATACACGAGGTGGAAAGATTTCTGAAGAGGGGTGGGGGAATTCCTACCTGATTTTCCCCCAACTAATAGCTTCATCAGGACGGGCCCCACTATCAGAACCATCAAACTCACTGCTCGTGTTTACAAACAAACTAAAACAGGTTTAATATACCACCAGTAGAACTCACTGCTAGTGTTTGCAAACAAACTAAAATAGGTTTATTATACCACCAGTCAAACTCACTGCTAGTGTTTACAAACAAACACAGGTTTATTATACCACCAGTCAAACTCAGGGTAGTGTTACTAACAAAAAAACGCGGGTTTATTTTACCACCCGTCAATCTCACTGCTAATGTTAACTAACAAATACAGGTTTATTATACCAACAGTCAAACTTACTGCTAGTGTTTTAAAAACATGGGTTTATTTTACTCAGACAAACTCACTGCTAGTGCTTAGAAACAAACACCGGTTTATAATATCCTTAAAAAAACACGCAAATACAAGTTTATAATACAATCAGTAAAACTCACTGCTAGTGTTAACAGTGGCCGAATTTAAAGAATTTGAGCGGCGGTTTAAATTTAAGCCGCGGCTTAAATATGGCTGGTTCCACTCAAAATTGAATAAAATGTTTCAGATTTAAGCCGGCGCTTAATTTAAACCGGGTTTTGGCAGATTTAAACCGCGGCTCAAATTCTTTAAATTCCATCTCAGGTTTCCTATACCCCGAAACAAACACACTGCTAGTTTTCACAAACAAACTATAACAGGTTTATGTTACCCCCAAACAAACAACTGTTAGTGTTAACAAATAAATAACAGGTTCGTCACACTCCAGTCAAGTATATTTTAAGTCAGTTCATTTTATTAAAAATAAAAACCATTTTTCTATTTTAAGGTTTACTGCAGGAGAGAAAATGAAGAATACAGAAAACATCGCCAAATTATTTTAACAACTATGGGTCGATCAAGGTGAAAAGATAAATTAAGATTACGTTGGTCCCCTACAAGCGTATCAATACCAAGAGTGTATCAATACTAACAAGTGTTTCAATACCAACCTAAAATCTGCTCCATTCCGCATAAGGTTTGCATTACAGATATGATGTTTAATTAAACCCCCTCCAAGGATGATCATTCCGGTGTTAACACTCCTCATTGCCATTCTGTTAATATCCCGCAGATCACCCAGGATATCAACTATCTAAATGTATTCTGTTAATTATCCCAAAGATCACCTGTTTAAAAGAATCTTCTTTATAACTCGGAAAATCTATTATTTGCAATTTTATTTTCTCTGTAATCAAGACTTACAGACCGTCTGCTGTTCATTGTTATAGATAAAAGAAAATTTTAAGAATAAAATCTTTTCTTGTATTTGTCTTTTCATAAATATCCCGAAACCAGAACGTAAATCTAGATAGCTATAAATATCCGAAACCAGAACGTAAATCTAGATAGCTATAAATATCACGAAGCCAGGCAGTAAAATTAGGTTACTATGAAGTATAAATATCCGAAGCCAGGACGTATAATTAGGTTACTATAAAGTATAAATATCCGAAGCCAGGACGTATAATTTAGATAGCTATAAATATCACGAAGCCAGGCAGTAAAATTAGGTTACTATGAAGTATAAATATCCGAAGCCAGGACGTATAATTAGGTTACTATAAAGTATAAATATCCGAAGCCAGGACGTATAATTTGGTTACTATAAAGAATTAAAGCTTTCCCAAGATTAGTATCTCAAAATCTTAATAATTAGCATTCATAATCTTTTTTATAAGTCCCAAAAACAGATATTAAAAAATACAATTTACTTACCAAGCCAGGGTTTCTGAATGAATGAAAGAAAAGCATGTCTCCTAGACTACCGTCGGTCAAAGCAGGACTGAAAACACATATATAAAAATCGGAATAGGGTTTAAAAGGTACAAAAATAATACAAAACATTATAAAGAAATAAGAGTTGTTTTTTCTATTATCTAGTTAATCATATAAAAGTGAATAGGGGGACTCTTCAATGCATAGATGGCGATGAATTAGTTAAATTAGTACACTCAAGACCGTCATCTGATCAAAATGTGAAAAATAACGTAGTTCTCTTTTTTCCTTTGTTCCTTAAAAGCAAGAAATGCAGAATTCACCTTTACAGTGAACTCTCAAATAAAATAACAGCTTTAACTTAAAACATAACAATGAATATTTAAGTCATCTTTCAGACAAAATAATTTAAATCAGGAATTGCCATCTTTGCATGTAGGGTCCCTTATAATTACGCTTACAGTTACTTTCAGAATTTAACTTTTTCTCGACAAACTGCAGAATCCAGAAGCAAATAAAAATATGAAATTCATCTACATCGTCGTAATACTTTTCCTGGAGGAAAAGAAATTGTTAATAAAAGTGAGAACTTTTCAGAAAAAGAATTCATCTAATCTCTCATTGGATCATTACTTAACAGAATGAAAAATTATCTTCATTTGCTTATAAAATCCCTCAGGTAAGATATAATTTTCCCCCTAAGGAAAATCAGTCTATCAGGATAAACCGATTAGATTGAGCATAACCGGATCAGAGGTGAATACATATTTTCATGACCAATCAATATTTCTGATCCATAGGAGTGGTTGCGCTAAATTGGGTGTAATAGCTTTTTCATCAAATTCAGTTTATCCTGATTGAATTGAGGGGTCGTTAAATGTTGACCACTAAGGATAAAGATGAAAAGTAGTTCAAAAATAACGTCGAAGACCAGGATTCAGATTAAAAGGATTAGAATACGGGTCAAATCACAGCAATCCAATTCCAATAAAAACATTATCCGATTTTATTTAATTTAATCATATTTATTTTCTCTATCACTTACTAAGTAGTAACAAGGAAAACTGAAATTATTTACTGTATTTACTAGTTGTGTCGGGCCAAAAATGTAGACTAATATCCTGAGATATTTCAGTATAACAAATGCTTACTTAGTGGTGTAAAATTAGAAAAACCAATTTCTCAATTGTCGTTGGCTGAAAATGACCCCATGGCTAAGCTCTTGCTGTTGACAACCATGTTAGCTGAAAGTTCAGATTTTAGAATTAACCCTCAGTTTAAGGGACTGTAACCGTACTTAAAGCGACTTCATTTGTAGAGTAGCATGACCAATTAACTACATAACTGATTATTTGTCGTTAGGGTTCTATAAAAAAGCCATATTCAGGAGAAAACACTTCCATGTTTTTAATCCGATTGAGGGAGAAAGGATACTTAGCACTCGATTAGACATGTTAACGCTATTAATTAAGGGTCACTGAAATAAGATAGACAGCCGGTTCAAAAATAATTATATAACACTATTATTTTGGTTCGCAAAGTTTTTTGGACAGTAATTTTCACTTTAAAGAGAAGGTTTAAGACTATTTTATATTTTGTTCCGAGCTTTAGCTTTCATCATGAAGCAAGTATGAATGATTAAGTACACAGTGGTTTCATGAAATAATTTACCAACCTGAATACTGATAGAAGTACACAGAAGTTTCATAAAAATTTACCAACCTGGATACTGATATAAGTACACTAAAATTTCATAAATAGTTATAACCAACCTGAATACTGGAATATTATTTTTAGCTGCCCAGTAGTAAATGCTTTCCTTGTTGTTAATCTCTAGTCCCAACCTTAAATAAATACCTTTAATGCCAAGAAGTAAGTATCTGAAACATTTGTTCCCCCCCCACACACACATTTTTGAAAGTCATGGGTCAGGGACTAGGATCCTCGAGAAGAATGAACCGATTTGGCCCATGTTGTGCGAAACAATCTTTTAGTTTTGGTAAAAAATTAAGTTGCTTTAAGGAATAACCCATTAAAGCGTTATTAAAAATAAAGAAAATTTAAAAAAGGGAAAAAATCGTACATTTCCCACCTGTGTATGATTTTACTAGGAGTCCAAACTGTTCTATTTGTATTCTGCTCCTCCAGTAGTTTATCAAGGATAGGCATCAACCAATCCTAATCATTCAATTGTTACAGCCTATATATTCTTGTTCTATTTTACAGAAATTAGATGAAATTGATTTGGGGAATATTTTTATTTTAGAAGAACTGAATTGGATTTCACAAACAACGCGTAAATTGTTACAGCCTTCTTATTTTATTTTACAGAAATTAGATGAGATTGATTTGGAGAACATTTGTATTTTAGGAGAAGAACTGAGCTGGGTTTCACTAACCGTGTAAATTGTTACAGCCTATATAATAATATATTTTTGTTCTATTTTACAGAAATTAGATGAAATTGATTAGGAGAACATTTGTATTTTAGAAGAACTGAGTTGGATTTCACAAACAACGCGTAAATTATTACAGCCTTTATATTCTTATTTTATTTTACAGAAATCAGATGAGATTGATTAGAACATTTGTATTTTAGAAGAACAGAGTTAACTACAACAACGGGTCTTCACAAAATTAACAATAAAGGGCATTTATAGTCCTAAATTAAAGTGTAAGTCTCTTTAATTGGTTTCATAATTTCTGCGGACTTATGAGCTTCGGGAATTGCAGTGCTTAGGACCCGGATCAACAAAAATATGCGGATACACGGATCCGGATCCAAGGGGCAAAATATCAACAAAAACTGCGAAAAAACTTTTTTACTCCTTAAACCCAAATCTGAACTTTTGAAAAAAGAGATTATAAAACTTTACTTTTTTTTAAATCGTTCAACAAGTCTTAAGATAAAGATAAGCATAAAAATAAACAAAAAATTTGAAAAATATTGTTTGTTAAAAAATTCAGTAAATCTTAAAGAAATGACCTGGACCCGGATCCAGATTTGGATCCATTTTTTCCAGTGCGGAGCCGCATCAAAATTAAATGGATCCTATGCACTGGGGCATTGTACAAGGAAAATGAATCTGGATCCTAAGCACTGGGGAATTGTATAAGGAAAATTAATTTATTTGCGGACTAATGAGCTTCAGGAATTGTATAAGGAAAATAAATATTTCTGTGCGTCACTAGAACCCAAATAGTGATCCTAATGAATGAAAACAATCTCGCATACAACAAGTATACCGCTTGATATCAAATAATCAAAATGTCCAGAATTAGATTAAGAACAATATTATGATAACTACAGAGTACAGAGAGTAATTGGGAAATATAATTAACAATTTTCATTTCTTAACATTTAAAAAAATGAGTTTACCAACGCGTCAATCAAACCCGGAAAATATCTATCTGAACGATAACAATCTTGCTTATGATAACTGCACAGTGTAACTACTGATCACAAATATCCGGAAATTTTCTGTGGAATTTCCTATGAAAAAATTCGAAGGAAATTTATTTCCAACATTATTTTGTTATATCGCTTGGGTTTTTGGATTTAAAAAAACTATTTTGCTTTAAATGGAGATTTAATAGAATTATCAAAAAAAAAATATGGGCCTAATATAAAAATGGTCTTCGAGAAAATCAAGATTTTCGAGTATTATGCGAGTGTTATAGCGTTAGAGCTGGGAGATAATGGAATATGATATGGAACGCTCTGTACGTTTAAATATGTCCCTGCAAATGTGCAAGTGGCTCTGAATTGTTATTTAAACAAAAACACTTACCTCGAATTTAACGTAGTTATTGTTGGGCACAAGAAGGTTCCCTATTCGGTTAATCCCTTTCTCTCTTAACAGAAACTATTGAAAGTATTTTTTTTTGCATAAGTTCGGTATGTTAGTAAGTTCTTTACTGCAAAACCGGGAGAGGGGGGGGGGGGGATTAAAGGGAAAATTAAAAAAAATTAGGTTTAATTGTCAGCAAAAGCTTGTCCCGTTGACGTCCAAATTTTCAAGTTTCCTCCCACAATCACCCCCCCCCCCCCCTATATAGAATGGATCCAAATAACGGGGGGGGGGAGAGGGGAATTTGGCAGATTGCTTACCTTAATTCTCTGCCAGGCAAAGCAAAGTCTCCTAAGTAAGTCGGGGCCAAACACTTGATGAAATCTTCCTCAAAGAATCAAAACATGCTCAGTGCAATTATCGGAAATACAAAATTTAAAAAACTGAACATTCGAATGTCCTTTTAACATAACCAGAAACGAAGAAGCACAGGTCTCAAAGAATTACAATAAACGCGAAAAAAATCAAAAAAATGCCATAATTGACAAATGGCCGGCCAATAAAACTAAGAGGTCAATGAATTAAATATAGATATTTGAAAGTACAAGTTTTGATTTGAACCTCGACTCCCCCGGCTGTTGTCACGATGCAATCAATCATACTGTGCTCAACCAAGAATCTAGTAAATAAATAAAATATAAAAATGAATAAAAACTGTCAACTTGGTAAATATGACGATTCACATCTTAAAATTTTTAGACATTTTCGCTTCGAATAAAATATCATTTTAAGTACAAGAAAAGAAAAATATTGAATTAAAAGTAATTTAAAGCAAAATTAAAATCAACTTATTTCAAATAAGACTTTAAATAAAGTATTTAAAAATGTTAATAAAAATGGGCAAATTGACAGGTTTCATATGAAAGCCAAAAGGGTCATCAAATACATCTTTCACTGTGTCTGACCGTGGAGAATGGATTTGATAATGCGCAAAATAACAATCGTCATTATACTAAAAATATTACCTAATCGTGTCCCTTACTCCGCATGATGCCATATTAGAGGTATATCCAAGAAATATTGTGCAGTTATTCCTAAAAATAAAGTTGTTAAAAAGATCTTTTTAGAGCTTAGCATTAGGAGACAAAATTTGTCGATTTCTTGCCACTCCTGGGTTAAAAATAACACAAGTTTTCGGCAAACAGAAATCTATTTTATAGCAATCGTCCTGCCTTTAATCCAACACATGGGTTTAAGGAAATAATGATTGCATTTATTTATAGAATTATTCCAATTTAAACTTAAAATTTTAATTCCTCTAGAATTAACTCTTCTAAAAATATCTTGACTCTCTTTCGTCAAAAAATAATTTTTTAGGAGAAGAAAAAATTAATAAAAAGTGTTAATGAGTGAATCTATCCATTTGAATTCAACATAACAAAAATAACCAAAACATTTAATTTTAAAAAATTGTTCATTTCTTGCCACTCTGGGGTTAAAAATAAATCAAGTTTTTGGCAAACAGAATTATTTCTTATTGCAATCTTTCTGCCTTTAATCCAACATTAGGGTTTAAGGAAATAATTGCATTTAATTTAAAAAAAAATATTTCTTGACAATTGTTGATTTCATGTCTATTCATCATCTAGAAAAATGAGAACTTGTGACAGAAATCTATACTCTAGCATTCCCATCTGCCTTTAATCTAACAATAGAGAAAAGGAAATAAAAGATTGCTTTCAATTTCAGTCAAATTGATCAATAAAAATTGAATCTTAAGTTTAATCCAATTTCACTTTTCTAACAAAAGAAAAATGTGAAAAGAGGAAGATATTTTTAGTTCCGGCTCATTCCATTGCATACAACTTGGGATATGAAAAATCCCAGAAATCGAAGATGAGCGTTATGGTCGCGGAAAAATTTGGATCTCTCGAGATCTCAAGGAGGACCTCTTTATTTAAAATGGCTGTAACTTTTTTGTTCAAACAGATGGCTCCAAAAAAAATTCTGTTTTGAATAAGTAATCTTAAGCCCGTTATAAGGCGTTAAGGGAAAAAATATCATTGAAATATTTATTTTAGGCCATAGCTAGTTGCATTTTTTTATTTACAGCCTCCGTTTGTGAGATTTCATTAATTAAAGCAGTTCTTAACTTAATGTTGTGTTGAAAAGTATGCAAGGGGGATAGATTTGTTCACTTAAATTGTTGATTTCATGTCTATTCATCATCTAGAACACTGAGAACTTGTGACAGAAATCTATATTCTAGCATTCCCATCTGCCTTTAATCTAACAATAGAGAAAAGGAAATAAAAGATTGCTTTTCTTTTTTCTTCCCATTTGAATTTATTTGTGTTTAATATCAGCCAATGGAATCATGTGTAAATTCTTTTCCGTATCTCGAGTTTCAACAGTATACAGGAACACCAGCAAGTGAAGATCATATCCAGAAAGATTACCAGTTTATATACAGAATCGAGAAAACAACATAACTTTAACGAAACAAATTTTGGGATAATGAAACATATTTTTACAGAAACAAATAAGTATTCTAGTAAGAATACTAAGACATGTTTTCAAATGAAAAAGTTCAAAAAATGTCTCGCTCCTAATATTAATTCGACTTACTTTATTTTTGGGTCTCCTTCAGAACAGTGTTCTAATTTATCTTCAGGTATAGGAAGTTTACGGCACTCAATCATTCTACAATATTATATCATTAAGTAACAACTATGTTATCATTTTTAAAGAATTGCAATTTTAAATGACAACATGTCCGATTCAAAAAAGAACCCTAAAAAGGTTCATCTGAATGAGGAAGACATAGTCACTTTAATAAGAAATAATAACAAATTTTAATATTACTATTTCAACTTCAATCGAAATAAATGTTACATCCACATTAACTTAGATTTAAAAAATACCATATACCTTTAAGAAAAATTCTAGGTGGAAAATTATAAGTATAACCTTATTGGAACTGAATTGCAACACTTCTTTGAAATCGTGCTATTCTTAAATTATTTGTCAAGGAAAACTGAAATTTTTCTTAAAATAGACATTGAAGATATAACCTGTTAATTTCCTCGACTGCCAGACCGAAGTTAGTAGCCTGGAATCCTGAGTATTTGTAGGATTGAAGGAGAGCATGGTAATCTACTCCAGCATTGAAATCATAACCCTGAACAAAATAACGTTTAAAAACGTTATAATAAAAATTCAACAGTCATTCCGTAGAAAACATAAAATCGTTAAAAATAACTTATTAAGAACGGAAACAACATTTAACAAGTTTTATGATGTGGATCGACTGGAACCAAAATTTCAGAATTAGGGATCCGGATCAGTTCAATAATGGATTGTTATTCAGCGCAAATGAACTGGATCATTATGCAGTTTTTATGTGTAACCTACTTTAACAGTTTCTGACCCGGCTGGCATATCCTCGCTTTTAACCAGAACTGCTTCAGCGGCTAAACCCGGCACTGACGCCATTTTTTATCTGAAAAATAACGGATTTTCAGACGCCCATCTTGCAGATTTACAAGACAAGATTTTTACTTCTTGGACTTGCTGGCCTTTTTGGGCTTCTTGACCTTGGCATTCCTCTTGGCCATGGGATCAGCAGCAACAGGCTTCCCGCTCTTCTTGGCAATGACGGCGGCCTTTGCCCTCAGGTTCTTGGCTTGAAGAAGCTCAGCGTTCTTCTTGGTCACGGCAACGTAGGGGTTAAGTTTAAGCATAGCCCTGATGTTCTTTAGAGGGTTGGTCTTTGTCTTAGCGGACTTGACAATGGTGCGGTTGGGTGCACGGAGAACCTTACGGATCTCCTCAGACTTCAACAGCTTGCTCAGGTCGGTGTTAGCCATCTTGGGCATGGGAAGGTTCCAGTTCTTCTTGGACTCGGATGCCTTGCGCCATGTTCCATAAAGGGAATCTAAATTAAAAAATGTCAACACAAAAAAATGAGAAGTTGATCGAATTGAGAAAGGAGATGTTCTTATCAGAGCTTCTGATAAATCAAAATGGTTCATAAACACGGACCGAAGTAAGAAGATCATCATTATTAGTTCAAGCGAAGGGACTGGGAACTAATGAGAAATAATCAATAATTTAAAGTGATTCATGCCTGATTCGCAATGGTAACAGCAAAGAAGAAATATTAATCAACAAACTTTTCTTCATTGCTCAATAAATTTGCATGTAACAATTAGAAATTAGAAGATATCTAACCATATAAAACTGCATTTGAATACTATTGAATTTAAGATTCACAACAAGAAGGCTAGCTAAGTCATTTTTGCTCAAGTAGGTAGTGTTAATCGGACATGCCACTCTCCATTAAGGGTCCTCTGTAGTTCCATTATCAGTCCCTTCAATCTTCATACACTTACCAAGCTTCTTGAAGGCAGACTCGGTCCAGATGCAGAACCTTCCGACATGACCTCCAGGGGCGAGCTTGAGAAGGTTCAATGCGTCAACAGAGATGGTGTCGACTCCGGGGATGTTACGGAAAGCCTTGGTGAGACCCTTAAAACAACAACTCATATAAACTGAACCTTTCTTCCTAAATTTTTTCCCCCTCCAACAGAAATAATAAATAATCGATCAGAAAGTTTTTCATCGATCTCTTGCAAAACTTGCTTTAATTGATAAAAAACCACAATTTCCAACAGAGAAACTTTATTGACTATTCGTTTTTCTTATATTTGAGGAAGGAGTGTACTCCCAAGTCTAAACCCATGTATGGTCTTAGTTCTGTAGTTAAAATAAAATGAAGCCAGCAATGAGGATTAGAGGCGATTCAAAGTTGATTTACTTTCTGATTTAACTTACTATAAATGTGCGTTAAAACACAACACAGACCTGTTGTTCATAACTCATATGGACAAATAACTAAAATTCCCGTTTTACTAAAGGGAGGGTCGGGATTGTGCAGAGAAGGTGGGAGGACTTTAAACCCACCCCCTAACAAAAAAATTTCTTTTATTCTTTATTCTTACCCCCACCCAAAACAAAAAAAAATTCATTCCGCCCCCCCCCTCCAAAAAAAAATCGTTAATTTTTCACTACAGGGAATGAACTTGTGAAATTTTGCGAGAGGGAGAGAGGAATTGAACACCGCGACTTTTACCAACCTGATCATCAGCGTATACAACAAGGGGTCCAAGCTTCTGAACGTGTCTCCTGTTCCTCAGCTTACCCTTACCAGCCCTCATCCTACGGGTAGCGTACACCTTGGCAATATCACCCCAAACCTAAAATATATATATAAAACATCCTACGGGTAGCGTACACCTTGGCAATATCTGCCCAAACCTAAAATATATATGAAAATCATCCTGCGGGTAACGTACATCTTGGCAATATCGGCCAAAACCTAAAATATATATAAAAATCATCCTGCGGGTAGCGTACACCTTGGCAATATCAGCCCAAACCTAAAATATATATGGAAATCATCCTGCGGGTAGCGTATACCTAGGCAATAACAGTAGGGATTATAACGTTATTTTTTATTCGAGTTGCATACGACAAGCAGTATTTCCAAATAAACTCGTTATCATTGAACCTACATCCAAGGTTAAAATGTAAGGAAGAATGATATGTTGCATATAATCTGTGTACATATTGAAACCAGTCCTCTCTGGGCGAAATTTGTAAACAAACAAAGATGCATTAATGCTCGTTTTCTACCCGAGGAGGTTAAAAGCATTTAATAGTTTTGATATTTCACATATTAGTTTCCTATGACCAGAATATATTATTGATATTTTATGTGAAAGATGGATCCAATGTCAGGCTTCGGCATCTTTCTTGAGTTTACATTACCGCCCAGAGACAGTACACTGCAGTACAAAAAATGCGTACAACTCTGAAATAACTTTCCTTGAATCATAACCTTGTCTATATCGAGGCATTTAAGTAAAAAAAAAAACTAGTTTTAACATACAAATTTAACTGTATCAAATTAAGAGTGGCTTGAAAAAAAGTAATTGACGTTGTCTTTAACATTATTTATCAAGTACTAATAGTCTGGGGTAAAGAAGTCTTTTTCTTAATAACCCTGATATCTATAATTAATTAACCCACCTTGGACCTCCTGAGGAAGACGACGGCTTCCTTAGTCTTCTGGAAGGTCTGAACCTTGTCGCTGACGACAAAGGGAACCTCGTTAATTCTACCGATCTGGTGTCCTTTGGCCATAACAAGAGCGGGGACTCCAGTTGCGGCGATAGCAGAGCACATAGCGTACCTGCGATGTAACAGCAAATTAAAAGATAGAATTTTTTCTGAACAAATTAACAAAATGATCATGTGTAAGATATTAACTCAGAGCTAAAAACTTTAGAATGGTGAATATCGAGATTAATGCTTTATCTCCTCTTTTTTTAAATAGTCAGGTTAAATAATGCTAGTTATCCTCTGCTTATTTATCACCAGATTAATGAACTGATCGGGATTAGGGATATTTCATTCTCAAGTTTTCAGCTCTGGCTTGATAAGCAGAAATGCTCATTCTAAAGAATTTAAAGGGGGACAAGGAAATGAGCAATACTCAGTCAGAAGAAAATATTCTTTTCTGTAAACAAACTTGGATGATATTTTATGGGGAAGAACAGAGGAACAATTCACTGTGATAAAGTTGCGTTGAAGGAGGGAAAATAATTATTGCTTTTTTTGGTGGGGAGAATGGGGGGGGGGGGGGTAAATATATTTCTGAACTTTTATTTTACCTCTTCTGTGCCACGTTGATCTTCCTGTGCCATCTCCTCCAGGTCTTGGTGGGAGCAAACATACTGAACAAAACAATCTTATAACCTCGAGTTAATCAAGTATAACAAGGTGAATTAAATTGTTGAATTATTTCATTATAGCGTATATTTAAGTCGCTCAGGAATCGGCGAGGGCAAGTGGTAATCATTAATAATGTGCACTACTAAAACGCAGTTTCCTAAAGGAGTTACGCGCGCTTGCCACGTTACATACCAAAAAAATAATGCGATTTGTATTAAGAGTTAGGAAGGGAAAAGACGCTTTCTGGGACGAGTACTGTGGCATCGACAGGCCCAGGGCCGAGCTAGAATAAGATATCGTAGATTTTCAACGCGGCATTCGCGTAACTTAATTGGACTTCTGCCCTATTCAGAGGAGAAAATGTTAATTACATAATAATCTTCTTACCGTCCTCCTCTGCACATGTTGCCGAAGGCAGCTTGACCAGATCTGTGGGTTCCACCACCACGGACACGGGGAATACGAGCAACAGCACGTCCAGTTCCTAAACAAGCATAGATTTTATCTAGGAATACAACGCCCATACCACCGTCAAGATCAGATCAAGAACGTAAATGAATCTCTTTGTAAACTTTGAAAAACAAAAACGAAAAAATTACGGATTATGAAAACAAATCGCGGGTTTTAAACATTTGATGACACATTTTATCATCTATAACCTTCCGTGGGGAAAGTAAGTCCCCAAAAAAATTGGACACGCTTGGTTCAGCTGTTTTGGCGTTTATTGGAAAGACAGACAAGCAAAAAAAGAAAAAGCATGAGCAGAATTAGCGATAGCTCAAAAAGTGAACGGAAAATAATTTTTTACATACGTCAACTTTGCTCGAAAGAAGTCGGCCAAAGAAATGCCAAAAAAATTAAATAACATGGTTTCAGGTGAAGTGGATTATAAATTAATAAAGTTTGATGTTCACGGAAAAACAAGTTAAATCCTAGAGATTACAAAATTACTCACCCCATGACTCAGCACTGGTCTGGTGACCGGCGTCAACGTTTACGCAGTAGGGCTGACGCTTGTTCTTCGCCATCTCATGGTGGATGGTACTCACGATGTCGGGACGGACGGGAGCCCTAAAATCATTTTTTATCAGGTTACATATCTACGAAACCAAATAAATTAAAAAATTCTTTCATCAACAAAAAAAATCCTTGAAAGATTTCATCAATTGTACGAGAAATTTTGAATTTCTTCATTGTGAAAATAGCATTTATTAGTATTAGTTTAAACTTTAATCGAGTTTGATTTAATGAAACTCTAATGAGACAACTACTGGGTCGAGTGCAACAGCTACGACAGCAGCGGCCTCCAAACAAACTTTGTCATTTTGTTAAAGAAGGGGGGGGGGAAAGGAGAAGAAACCTCTCTTCGGAAATAACCTAGTTCAATTCAAAACATGGTTAGCTTGTACATTTGTTGTTTCATTTTCAAATATGTGAACTCAACCCCATCCCGAATATCCTATAATACACCTTAAAATCTTAACAAAACCATTTGAATTCAATAATCGGGTCTAAATATGAAAGGTTTTGTTAGAATAAACATAAATTTCCGGGCTGAGCGCTGCAACTAGGACAGACTAGGGGCCGAACGCCGCATGACGGGTCTGTCCTAGAGAACGATTTTTGGACCCCCCCCCAGGCCCCCCCTCTTATCAATATTGTACATATTTCGTTTACTTTTACAAAAAAAATATTTGTGTAGTATTATTTCAGGATTCAATTTACAGACACGGAAAGCATCAAAAATGGCAACTTAAATTTTAAAATACGTACTTGAAGACAACTGGGAGACATACTGTAGTTCCAGCAGACTCGTTATTCTCATTGTAAACCGTAATCAACGGTCTGGCCGCGGCAAGAGACATTTTAGCTAAAAACAACAACAAATTAAGCAAAAGTCAAATAAAAAACTTCACAAACAAAACCATAAATCAATCATAGCGAAGAAATCTTCTTTAGATAGAGAAAAGGTCGTAACGTGCAATATCTCCTATCCATCAAATTCAACCAAGCGAGATTCACAGTGTGGCCGGAATCGGATAGAATAAGGAAACGTGGAGAGCGAAAATGAGAAAGCTCCGCGGCATTGTATTAAACAATTTGTCGTCTTTGTTTAAGACGACATTACTAAGATTAGAGATTATTATTATGATTGAAAATTTTATGTTCATTATGATGTTTTATTTCAACAAGGTTAGGTCTTAGCTCTCTAAAATTGTTTAAATTACTGGTTTGATAGTTTGCCATAAACACTACGGATCAGAAAAGACTAATATACCATACTATGGAGATACTAGTTTGAACGCAGGAATAGAGTAGTGTCGTATCGTTTGCACTATAATGATTGATCGGACTAACGTACATTCGCACTAACGTTCATTCGGACTAAAGTTTTAATTAAGGGTTAGGTTAGGTTAAGACAATTTCTGGGCCGAGCACTGCGGCTAGGACAGGCTAGGGGGCCGAGCGCCGCGGCTAGGACAGGCTAGGGGGCCGGGCGCTGCGGCCACAAGTGTTACTGATCAGCCGACTTTAGTGCAAAAGTACGTTAGTTCAATCGGACATTAGTGCGAACGATCATAGCATCAATAGAGTTTATGGATATAGATAGGTAATTAGGTATTAAATATGATAAATAATTGTATTATAGGTAACACATGTTATCAGAAAGTACAAGGAAGCTCAACTGTTAATCATTCTATTAAAGTAAACTCAAAACTTGTTTTTACAGAATGCGTGAATTCAGCTTATTTAGCTTTTATATTAGGCAGAAACATATAAACAAACACCAAGACAAGCCAAATTTATACATTTAAAATTCATGGAATTAACACTTTTTATCTTTAGGTTGAGAAAGAAAATTTTCTATTCGTTGGTCAAGGTAAAAAAATACAATAGTGACTTTTCAATGTGAAACAAATTGGACCAAATTTGTGTAGCAACTCAGATAACCGAAGGATAGGTTTATGTTCATGGTGGAAAAAGAAAAAATGGAGACTTGAGAAGCAACAGATAAATTTGTTACAGGGCTCAATTGTGTTGGATTGTTTAGGTGTTTTAAAGTTTTAGATTATTTATAAAAAGATTATCATTTAATATTTATAAAAATATTATCATTTAATATTTATAAAAAGATTATCATTTAATATTTATAAAAAGATTATCATTTAATATTTATAAAAAGATTATCATTTAATATTTATAAAAAGATTATCATTTAATATTTATAAAAAGATTATCATTTAATATTTATAAAAAGATTATCATTTAATATTTATAAAAAGATTATCATTTAATATTTATAAAAAGATTATCATTTAATATTTATAAAAAGATTATCATTTAATATTTATAAAAAGATTATCATTTAATATTTATAAAAAGATTATCATTTAATATTTATAAAAAGATTATCATTTAATATTTATAAAAAGATTATCATTTAATATTTATAAAAAGATTATCATTTAATATTTATAAAAAGATTANAATTCATGGCCGGGTGAGTGATGACTGAAAATATTTCTGAATATAAAAAGGAAAATTATGTAAAGATATAAAATTCAAGGAATCAAGAATAATATTTTATAATATATAGTTCATCCAGATTATGTAGAAATCAAGAATATATTATGTTCTAAGATTACTTTTTTAATACATGTATTAATGCTGATATTGTGGAAGACGATACCTGGCCGCGTTAAACTAGTTCCACAAGATTCAACAGAATGAGATAGAACGGATACGGGGCAGAGAAAATAATAAAAAAGCTATAATGACGAAATTTGATATTAATTCTAAAAAATTTTCTATGTTGGCAATAGATATCATCATTCATCAAGGTTCAGCTAAAGTGAACATTTCTAATAATAAACTTTGAATAAATATTTTCTATCTAAGCTATAAACCTAAACCATCATCAAATTCAAGCTTACCTAAAGAAAACGTCTCATTTAAGGTAAAGCTAAGCAATGAGCATAATAATATAAGAATGTAAATGTAAATTCACATCAAAATTAAGCTATTGTTAATGTTTAGAGTAAAATATTTATCCGTAAAATTATCATTTGTTTAGTTTTAATACATTGGTTAAAAATATGAACTAAAATCTAAGACTTTTGTTTTAATTTTAAACTTTCTTCTGAAAATTTTGTTTTATCCATTTTCAAAACAAAATTGCAAGTTTTTTGGCAAACTTATATAGCTAATTCTATGCATAATTCTAAAATAGCACAAAATAAAAATAACATATTTTTAATCAATTCTTTAAATCATGTGTCAACAATGATCATGTTTACCAGAGATTTATATGCCCCGGTTTCCATGAAGACATGGAATTCTTCTTCCTCAGGGGGTTCTTCCAGAAAACTCATCTTTAAAGAGAGAGTTGGCGAAAAATGAAAGGGAGTATCCGTTGATACGAATTTATTTCGATCTTGATCGCTACCAATTTTACTTCTATCCGTAAATGTTAAAAAAAAGTTCAACACCCTTAAATAAATATTCATTTAGATAATGCGTTTTTTTCACTCAGACCATAAATAATCAAATTAAATTTAAAACTACTCATTCATTTATTATAACCTAAAATTGTCCATTTCAATTCGACGTATTCGTATATAGTTGTGTTGACTTGAAAAGTCACTATAATAAAATAAAGAGATCTAAAATGGATATTTCTAACATTTATTTAATAAACGAGTGTTTTGAAATATTTGCATTTAAGGCGGAGTTAAAATTGGTTGATTTAGAAATTAACAAAGGAATTAATGATGAATGTTGTGGGTACTTCATGGGAGTGATGTAGATCTTCATGTTGGTGAAGCAGATCAACAGGATCTTGAACAACAGGACTTATCCAACCTAGTAGGCAGAGATTGCGGCTTGTCATGCTGGCTATGAGCGATTATGTTGTCTCTGGAATGCATGATGAACTGGGAACCCTTCGGGTAAGAGCGTCTGCTGCTATCTGAGTATCTGCGTCATCATCATAAAGGAGTCAAGAGGCTCCCTGTGTCGGAGCTGTTACTAGTTCAACTGTCCTAACATGACTGAATACCGGGAGGGAGCTGGGATGAGCGGAGATTCGACATGTGGGCACTACATGAGGAGGAAATGGATTTGAGTACACATACATCTAGAGAAAAGGCTGGGGCATTTGAGTCGGAAAAATCGTCTTCCTTATATTTCGAATTAATTTTAACAAGTTGATATTTAATAATATTTTTTTTAATCTTTTTTATGATCCGAGAGTTACTTTTGAAAACATTCATTCCAGTTTCGAGGATTTTTATTAATGAAGACAACATTTTCATATTTTCCAGGAATGTTAAAAAAACCAGCGCCAGTCGTAAAAACAAGCTGTAAGCGAAATATCAAGTAAAATTATTTTTTTTTAATAATATTAAATATCAACTATATACGAATATATCGAATTGCATTCGACTTTGTAAGTATAGTTTGAATGTTGTAAATTTAATTGAATTATTTACGATCTCAGCTAAATAATTCAACTCCCTGAATTTTTTAACCCCTTTAATTTTTCGCAAACACTCCCTTTAAAGCGTAAATGTTGAAACTTTATGCTACCTTTAGCCAGCCAAAAATAAATGTAACTTTTGTTAAATTATCTAAATTAATTCCCTCTCCCTCTGCAAAATAGACATGGCACATTTTTTTTGGTTCACAGAAATGTTATTCTTATGGAGAAGGTTCAAACTTTTTATATTTATACAATTTTCGGGATATAAGATTCTTCCACAAAGCAGAAATAAAACAGTTTATTTTAAAACTCGGTGATGGTGATGGACCAAACCTCTGCATAGAGTAAAAAAGTAGATGTTAGTTCCACATTTATTGAAAATATATTTCGGTCTGGGTTGACCCTCGTCAGTTCTTGAGATTGTTTCTTCTCAAAGATTAAAAACAAACAATTAAAAACAAAGTTTATTTTAATTTAATTTAATTTAAATTGAACCTTTTTCTATAGATTTCCCAACAATTTGTTGAGAAAAACCAATTAAACTTTGATGAAATTGAACTTCAACACTGGGAATACAGTTAGAAATGGATCGTCTTCATTTCAAATGGATTTCATAATGCATTAGAAGGATATAGTATAGACTCCCTCCCACCTCTGCAAGGGAGAAGGTATTATTTGAGGATTCAAAATGGATTGTATTACAAGATATAGTATAGACTCCCTCCCACCTCTGCAAGGGAGAAGGTATTATTTGAGGATTCAAAATGGATTGTATTTACAAGGATATAGTAAAGAATCCCTCCCACCTCTGCAAGGGAGCAGGTATTATTTGAAGATTCAAAATGGATTGTATTACAAGATAAAGTATAGGATCCCTCCCACCTCTGCAAGGGAGCAGGAATTATTTGAGGATTCAAAATGGATTGTATTACAAGATATAGTATAGAATCCCTCCCACCTCTGCAAGGGAGCAGGTATTATTTGAGGATTCAAAATGGATTATATTACAAGGATATAGTATAGAATCCCTCCCACGTCTGCAAGGGAGCAGGTATTATTTGAAGATTCAAAATGGATTGTATTACAAGATATAGTATAGAATCCCTCCCACCTCTGCAAGGGAGAAGGTATTATTTGAGGATTCAAAATGGATTGTATTACAAGATATAGTATAGAATCCCTCCCACCTCTGCAAGGGAGAAGGTATTATTTGAGGATTCAAAATGGATTGTATTTACAAGGATATAGTAAAGAATCCCTCCCACCTCTGCAAGGGAGCAGGTATTATTTGATGATTCAAAATGGATTGTATTACAAGGATATAGTATAAAATTCCTCCCACCTCTGCAAGGGAGCAAGTTTTATTTTAAGATTCAAAATGGATTGTATTACAAGATATTGTATAGAATTCCTCCCACCTCTGCAAGAGAGCAGGTATTATTTGAAGATTCAAAATGGATTGTATTACAAGGATATAGTATAGAATCCCTCCCACCTCTGCAAGGGAGCAGGTATTATTTGAAGATTCAAAATGGATTGCATTATAAGGATCCATTATGACAGTACAAGCTTCAGCACACTGTATAGTATCATGCTTCCTAATCTTGGGAAACATAAATAATCTTTTAAATTATAGAAATTTATGTTCTTCTGTTAAAATGAGTTTTTAATGGAAACCTATTAAGGGAAAAAAATAACAATAAAAATATATGTATTACACTTTTTCTATTCAAAAAACTTTTCATTCATTTTTCAAAAGCATTATTAGAAAATTATATACGGTGTATAAATTATATTTTGAACATTTCAAAAAGATATTCATTGCCTTAAACTAGGAAACATTCTAAAAGATTTGGACTTGAATGAAAGCTGCAGCCACAAACTCTAATTTTTATTTCCTAATATCTTTGAAACTATAGACGTCATTGACCTTGAGATTCCTACCTATGCTATATCAAATGGTGATCGTTTAAAAACATCAAAGGTTGGCAAGATAAAGTATCAAAGATATCAGTATTAGTTCCTTTCTTTTGAAAGTTTTTACTAATAATTTAAACTTGCAAGCTAAATTTAGAAGATATTAAAACCTTTCAACTCCTAGTGTCCAACTAGCTGCCCTATCTTTATTAGATAATAGATCAGCTTTCTTCAACTCCTAGTGTCCAACTAGCTGCCTTATCTTTATTAGATAATAGATCAGCTTTCTTCAAGCCAACTTCTTATGGCACATGGTTATGGCTTATAAGTAGATATTTTGTGAATATTTACATATTTTTCTATTTAAATTAATATTTAGTTTTTACTGAATTTCTTTTTAATCTATACAATAAAACAACACATTCGTATAAATGTTCTCTCTGGCCGGCCAAACGGCTGGACCGAATGGGGTGACATTTTTTGTAGGCACTCATGGGAAGCCTTGGGGTGACAAAGACATAAAAAAATTTTTTCAAAATTTTTAATTTATTTTTATTATTTTGTTTAAAATTTTTTTTTTTCCACGAGCAACGGCGGGTCTTTCAGCTTGTCTTCTAATAAATCCTTTTTAAATAAATAGGCTTTGGCAAATTTAAGCTTTATTTTTTTTAACTTTTAAAAGGTTTCACAAAAATATAAGAAGCTTTTACATTTAACATTAAAATTTTTGCATGTTTGATAAAATCAATTTTATACAGAATACAGATTTCAAATGTTGGAATCTTATTATTAAGGAACACTATTTTGTAGTGCCTCTTAAAAGTTCAAAAACCTTAAAAGTCTTAGAAGTTATTGTCCAATGTCTGTCACTAACTTGATCATACTAAATTGGGTATTTAGACTGGTGTTATGTATTTTAAAATTGTACATTCAAAACTCTAGGCTTATAATTGTTAATTATAACTTCTAATGGCCTTTCAAAAATTAGATTAATAAAAATGTTTGAAAATTAAACGACAATGTATTTAAAAACTCGAAATATTATACAAGACATTAAAAAATAAAAAAGTTGGAAAAATATAAAATTTTTTTTTTTTTTTAAGTTTTCAATGTAATACAACTATTTTTAAGTTGCTTAAATTGAACACGTGATCCTCATTGGATTTTATTGCTGTTTCAGTAAGAACAAAGACTAATTAAGACTAAGAACATATTGATATTTTACTTGGACCAATCAAAACAAAGCATTGCGCATTGCACACAGTGATCAAAATAGACAAGCTCTTACAGTAAAATAGATGAGCATTTTTTTGCTATTTACCTATAAAAACTAAAGTGCTTTACAGTTCTAAAATGCAGTGCTTAAAATAAAGTTAAAGTGAAGTGAAACCAAAGGCCGAGACGTTGCGATACTTCAAACTGAATCAATATTAAACATTAATGCAGCTTTGCATAGTAGTCTGGATCCATGTAAGTGTACATATACTTTTTATTCTAAAATTGACATTGTTTTCCCCCGGTTGTTAAATAGTATATTGTTTTTATTTTCCTACTGTGAGACGGGGAGCAGGAGATACAAAAACAAACAAGACGTGTAATTTACTCAAAAAAAGAGCTTTGGTCCATGGAAAAGGGACTGACTAATCTAAAAAGGGATAAGTTCCATAGAAAAGGGACTAACTAACCCATAAACGGCTATGGTCCAAGGAAAAGGGACTGATTACTCCAAAAATGGCTAAAGTTCATGGAAATCGGAAAAATTACCACAAAAAGGGCTTGGGTCACTGGAACATTGACTGATAAACCAAAAAAGGGCAAGGGTCCATGGAAAAGAGACTGATTAAACCTAAAAGTTCATGGAAAACGGACAAGTTACCAAAAAAAGGGCTAGATTCAAAAGAAAATAGACTGATTACTCCAAAAAGCGCTGGGGTCCATGGAAAAGTAAAATTACCACAAAAAGGGCTAGGATCACTGGAACATAGACTGATCAACCCAAAAAGGACTAGGGTCCATGTAAAAGGGACTGATCAACCCAAAAAGGACTTGAGTTCATGGAAAATGGAAAAAATTACCCCAAAAAGGGCTAAAGTCTAAGGAAAGGGGACTGTTTTCTCCAAAAAAGGGCTAAAGTCCATGGAAAATGGAAAAATTATCACAAAAAGGGCTAGGGTCAATGGAACATGGACTGATTAACCCAGAAAGGGCTAGGGTCCATCACATAGATTCAGCCTCCTTATAAACAGTCTCATCAATTTTTAAGACAGGGCTGACTTTGAAGTGTCGCAACGCCCTAAGCTTAAATTTTACCGCTCTAACTCACTTATGCTTTTCTGTAGCCCTGTACATGTACATTTTAGCACTGTAAAGCACTTGTTGTTAGATGTGGTTTTTTAGAAGTTATTGGCAAAATTCTCAACGATTTTTGCTTGAGAGCGTGAGACCATTAAATCGCAGTGCCATGGAAAAGATTAATCCAAAAAGGGCTAGAGTTCATGGAAAAGGGAAAAATTACCACAAAAAGGGCTAAGGACAATGGAATAGGGGCTGATTAGCCCATAAATGGCTAAAGTTCATGGAAAACAGCAAAAAATACCAAAAAAAAGGGGTAGGGTCAGGGGGGATGATAGTTTTCTACCTGTGTGCTCAGTTAGCTGTACTGTACACTCACAACTGTTTACTAATATCGGTATAGTTTATGGCCTATAGAGATAGTAAAGGATTAGCGTACATCATCACTTTTATACACTTTAACCTCGTTGGGTTGGGTATATGGAATATTGACTGATTAACCTAATAAAAGCTAGAGTCAATGGAAAACAATAAAATTACAAAAAGGGCTAGAGTACAAGGTAAATGGACTAATTTACCCAAAAAAGGGCTAGAGGCCAAGGAAAAGGGAATAATTTACCTAAAAAAAGGACTAGAGTCCAAGGAAAAAGGACTAATTTACCCATAAAAGGGCTAGGCTCCATGGAAAAGGGACTGACTAAACCAAAAAATGCTAGGGTCATTGGAACAGGGACTGGTTAACCCAAAAAGGGCTAGGGTTTAAGAAAAACGGACTGATATACCCAAAAAGAGCTTGGGTCATAGGAAAAAGGAACTGACTAAACCAAGAACAGAGAATCACTGAAAAATATTTGCAAAACTCTTTCTACATTTCGAAACGTCGAAACGGGAGAGCCGATCGTGCTCCTAGGAATGACTTAAATGACAAATGACAAATTTGTTTAGATTTTAGAAATATTCTTGAAATTCGTTAAATCAACTGAAAGATGAAAATCCACTATTGTTATGCAAAGAGGAGGGAGTAGAAGGGGGGGGGGGGGTTATTTGCTAATTTGATGCCAGCATTTTTCGCAAAGTAGACATGTAAGCAGAAAGGCTTTCAGACTAATGTTTACATATGATGTAGAAATAACACTATCTTTTAAGAAAAGGTTAATTGTGTGCTTCACATTTCTATGCGTAGTAAAACTGTAAAATATACGCGAAAACTAAACTTTTCATTTTCAATTTTTAATGTTTTTTTGGAATTTGGATGTTTGGTGTTATACAAGTATCCTGGTAAGGTAGCCGGATATGTCAAAGAATCTGAGAAAGCTGGTTGAAATATTTTCTTGACTCTGCCCGGAGGGTTAGGTGGAGTTTCTGGACTCTGTTGAGAGGTCATGCCAGCCTCTACCTGACCTTGCCTGCTTCAGTCCGGCCTGCCTAGTTGACCCGCTAGCGAGTCTCCCTTCCAGCAACCCTCAATCCACAGGAATACAAACTTTTACATTTGAACAAAAGTGAATATTTGTTTTAAATATTTTTTTTATTCTCTACAATCGATTGCTCCGGGGTTTTGAGTAAAAGAAGAATATTGGTTTAAAATCAGATTAAAAGAATTTAAAAGAATTTAAAGAGGCCATGATAAGATGGCCACCATGTGATTTAAAAATGCTGTACAGAAAAATTCAAGAAATTGATTACTTGACTAAAACTTTAATTTTCTAATTCATTACAACTTGGTAGTGTAAACCTCTAATATTTCAAATTTGGCTTGATCTAGGAAAATTTGAAATATTAGAAATACAACTTCAGGTTTCAAAGATATGAAGATCAGGGAATCATGAAGATTAGAAGCAAGTAATCACTTCCTTTATGCTCTTTAATGAAAGTTGATTAAATAATGTTAACAGATTTTAAACTTTGTCAAATCAGGCATGCCTTTGATTAACACTACGGTTAAGATTCAAGAAGTATCCTTTTCCTACAATACCAAAGAATAAAGGTTAAAAATAAGCTAAAAGGAGTTGAGTCTTTGTCACAAACTCTGATATTCTACTCCCTATAGCTTTGGAACCCAGTGTCAAACTATGAATTCTGTAAAGTTAAATAACATATGTTTGAAATATCTAAGGTTTACTCCATTAGGTTGCAAAGATATAGGGATTGGAAAATTTAAGTTTGATAATTTTAATTTAATTTTGATAATTTTAATTTAATTTTGATAATTTGATAATTTTTGCAAGCAAGAGCTTATGAAACAAGAAAAATGTAAAAGAAAGAAGAAAAAAACTAAATGAATAATAAAATCTTTTTCAACACAAGCACAACTCAATAACTTTTTACGAAGTAATTTAAGCAATATTTCAATAGAAATGAATGCCCTCCCAGACTATTGATGGTTAATTGGAAATAAATGAATATTCTTTTAAAAAAAATTTCACGAATATGAGTAGTTATAACTTGTTTCTAAACATTTGCAGCAAAATAAAACATTTGAATTATTAAAAATATATTTTTAATCATTTTCTCAAAAGAATTCTTGTATTTATACTTCCCAATAATCTCTAGACACAATTTAAATAATCCTCAGGATTTTATCATTCATACACGAATTAAAATTAAAATACTCCCCCCCCCATTAGTGTGTCTGGCTCAGCTCCAAAATTATCCATTAAACTGTAGTTCAGAGCCTGACCGAAGAAGGTTCAGAATTTTAGAATTTGTTACATTCTTGGGTGTAGGAAGTAAAACTAGCTTTCTGCCCATATTGGTGTTCAGCAGTCAATCTGATCTGAACTTTTGCACAACGTCAGCGATGGAAACTTTTGATTTGAAGCGATCAATGGTTTAATCCATGGTTTTTCGATCTCTCATTGGCCGATACCGGATCTTTCCTTGCTTTATGTTGATCGTACCATCACGGATATCGAAAAAGAATACGTGAATTTATTGATCCGTTGAATCTTTTGCGGATTAATTGATCCGTTGAATCTTTTGCGGATTAGCGCCTTCTAAAGTTCCAACCTCTGATATGTTCTATAATTTTGAAACACAGGCGTAAATCATTAAAAACTAAAAAACAAGAATCTTTAAGATACGAAAGATCAAGTTTAAACAGATGAGATTTTTTTAGATGGAATTTGTTTTCACAAATTTTCAAAGTCAAACGGAGTTTACGAATTGAAAACTTTTTTTTGAAGATTCAAAATAATTCGTATTTTTTTCTAGGCCTTTTTAAAAATAACCTAAGCTTAATTTCAAGTGATCCTCCGTGTAAAGTGGACAATGCCCGATTCACAACGTTACAATTCACCCTGAACTAACGAGAGAGAGAAGCATTCGGTTTCTTTCATTTGAAATCAAACGTTTTTTCGTCTATAACTCAACATTCTAAAGAGCTTACCAGATTGTCATTACCAAATTGTCACCTTACCAAGTTGTCATTACCAAATTGTCATCACCAAATTGACATTACCAAAAATCAGCCCATCTTCAAATGTACCATTGTTACTTGGATATTACTGTCTTTGCAAGAAGAGTAGCTTGAAATTACGTGGACAATCCCTTTAAAAAATAGAAATTTAAAAGTAAAAATAGTTCTTTTAGAATTAATTAATTTACCCCTATCCCCCCCCCACTAAAACACCTGTGAGTGCCTATCATGTTGAAAGCACTATATCGCGTCACACATTCTTAGCTCTATGTAAATAAATAGTTGAAAACTGGAAAAAGTCTCAGTAACAGGAAAAGTCCGCATCGAAAACAAACTATTTACAAAAAATAAGATGTTAAGACACCCTCACATCAATATTTTTGTTTTGTTTTACAGTGGTATGGAAATGTATTAGAAAAATAAAAGACGACAATCTATTGCGTCTTTGCAACTATTTCTGCTTTTAGGGTTAGATACTAAAAACAATAAATTAAAACTTAAAATCTGGATCTCATTTTTGGATCAGTAAATTCAACATATTTTTTTCAGATTTTGAAACAATTATATTCGAGTTTTCTTGAAATTCTGTTATATGTTGATTAAAGTAGAAAACATTATTTTTTAGAAGAAATATTATTGTTGTTAAAAACAGATAATGTTAGATGCAAAAAACTGTTTTGTATTTTGTTGGCTCCAAACTCCAAGAGCAGAATTAGCTTGAAGCTTCTTACATAAAAAATTGAATTGATTGTTGTATAATTATATCTTATTACAGTCCACAACTGTATTAAATCTGAATATTCGGTTCAAGCAGACTTTTGTAAACCTAATTTTAAAGTTTGGTTGCAGAAGGAGTCAGCATGGACGCCAACCTCACTGCCACCTTCGATGCTTGCAGCAACTTCAATACCAAGCTCAAGGATACCCTTGCTGGACTTATTAGTGCCAACAATGAGAGGAAAGCTGAAATTGACGGACTCAGGTTGAATATCTTTTAATTTTTTATTCATAGGAAATAATTAATGTAAAATATCTTTTATAATGAATTTTTTGTTAAGATCTGACCATGATACACTCAAGAAGGATCATGATTCCTTTGTTGTCTCTGCTGAACGAGAAAACGATCTTAGGTTAGAAATTCTAATATATGTATTAAAAATAAATTTGCTCATTCATCTACGAAATAATTTTTTTTTAACAGAAAGAATGAGATCAAGTCTCTTGAAGAGAGACAGCAGAAGGATAACACAGCTAGGATCACTGACATAGCTAAGCTCGATGGTAAGCTGGACTCTGAAAATAATGCAAGGAAGGAGGAAATCAAGGCTCTTGATGGCTGGGCAAAGTCTGAGAATGACGCTCGTAAATCTGAAATCTCCAAACTGGATAACTTTGCTCACTCTGAGAATGACGCCAGGAAGACTGAAATTGCAAATCTAGACAACTTTGCCAAGAGTGAGAATGATGGCCGCAAGGCTGAAATATCTGCTCTCAGCCAGCGTATTGACAGTGAACAGGCTGCCAGGGATAGCGAGGATAAGGCTATCAATGAGAGGATTGACAAAGAGATCCATGACAGGGAGAATGCCAATGCTGAACTCCTTGCAAGAATGGATTCTCAAAACGAAGATAAGTCCAGAGAGATGGAGGAGCTGAGAACTAGAATGATGAAGGAGAACATGTTCCTGAGATCTCTTTCAGACCAGACCCTTGGTGTCTTTTTCGATGCCTACAGAAGCAAGGCCTATGATGGTGGCGGCGAGGAGAACCTCACCTTCAATGGCACCTACTGCAACTACGGCGGTGGATTTGAGGCAGACACTGGAATTTTCACCGCACCTGTTGGAGGAACTTACCTTTTCATGTTCCACATTGCTACTCATGACAACAAGAAGGCTCTTCTTTCCATCAGGAAAAATGGTGAGGCATTAGTTTTTTCTTGTTTTTTCTTTTTTTAATTTTGTTGATGAATAAATCAGTTCATGACTGTCTTTATTTTTATAGGTGAGGAGATTGCTTCCATCTTTGACCAGAACCATAAGGACAACCACAAGAACAGCATGGCCGGCCAAAACATCGTAATCAATGTCAACCGTGGAGATGAAATTGTTGTGTACGCCTACACCGGTACATGGCTGGCTGACTTCCCCATGAACCATTACACCCACTGGGTGGGTCTTCTGTTGAAGCCCAATGCAGAGGAGACCAACCTTCTAAGAAAGAAGGCCGAGGAAGGTCTTGATGAACCAGTTCACACCAACGGATTCTAAACTCTCATCATACTTCCATGAATATTCTATCAGAAGAGAATTCTTCCCCAACCGTACCAATAATATATGTACCAACGATAAGGATAATTGAACACTGCTCAACGGTTAAATGATTTGACGAAATGGAAACTCTCAAGAATAAATCATTTGCTCCCACAAGACAAGATATAAATATACTCAGGTTAAGGGTTGGCTGGTAGTAAATGGTTTATTTCCTACATAAATTAGTTATTGTAAATATGATGTGTTTGTACAGTATTTATTATAAGAAATTCTCTGGTTTTTGAAAAGGCTCGTGTCTGTGAAACAATAAAAGCTTTGCCTTTAATATTTATTTTATTACATTGGGACATTGCAGATAGATAGATAATAGTTGGATAATAGTATTGTGGATGATTCATTATTTTTCATAACCAAAGTTTCCTAAGTTGCTCATATACTCTTTCATAGATCTAAAATCAAACAAGCTTTCAGGTAAGAAGGATGCAAAGAACAGTAACAAAAAGATTTTGATCCACTACCCACTACCCAGCGAGAAAAACTCTTCCGATTTTTTACAAAAAGTGGAAATCCTCTGAGAAATTTGAATAGTGTTGTTTAAAAACCCATAATTGATAATTTTCAGACAATCATTTTTAATACTGGGTATAAAAAATTTAAGAACCAATAGTAAAGTTTGATCATTCCTGAGTTGTTCTACATTATTTGAGTTGTCAACAATACTTCCAGTTCCCCCTAGGTCCTTGGGTAGCAGGTCCAATCTGAAATTTACAAATACCTAAACCTATAATGCAAGAGTGCTCACTGTGAAATTGGATATCAAGATCAAGCTATCAGGATTATGGGTATCCCACAATAAAATTCTCGGCTCTGGACAAACTTTTTACCTGAAATATTCTTTCAACGTAGAAGTAATATCTCCTGAATGGAAGACGACTTCTTCTTTTACTGTGTCGTTTAGAAACGGATGCATCATATTAAACAGCATATGGAACACTCTAGAAATAATTACATCATGGAACTACTTAATCAAGAGAGCACTATGTTTAATGCCATAGAAAATATATCATACATGAAAAGTCTAAAATTCTAATCAAGAAAAAATATTAATTAGTATATTGAACATCTTAATGTTCTATGCTTTATATAACCTGGCACTTTCACAAGAATGTATTTTTTTCAAATGTCATGAATATCATAATATATATATTTTTATTTTCGATTGGTAGAAAATGAAACGCTTAAAAAATAACACGGAAAAGAATGTGTTAAAATTATGAACGATATGTTAAAAAAAAGTCGTGTTTGAAAAATGCTTAAAATCAAGCTAAAGCGATTTTTGGATGCAAAATGAAAAGCATTACTGTTTTTTCTATTTAACGCAATTCCGGCAATTTCCTTGATTGTCTCTTTACCATAAATCCACAAATCACTTCTATAGAGTAACCACAATTAAAATTAATCAATGTTTCTAGAGAAAATAAGAAGCATATCTCATTTCTTCTTCTCTATTAGACGACATTTTAAAGGGTTTAGAAAATGAAAGATCATTTTTACAGTTCTTTTAATGTTTTAGTCAAATCATATATTGAAAATAAAACTTTTACAAAAATCTTACCTTGGGGCGTTTAGAACATGGGACTGCCTGAGCCAGACTGGGAAGGCAATGTTAAAGAATGAAGCCATGTTCTTTCCATTTTCCAATCCTATTGCTCGCATCTAAAAACATTTAAAAAAAGATTTTTTTGTCAATTTCATTGCAATTGTAAATTCAGATTTTAGATAGTTAATGACAAAAGTTTATCAAATAAAGTTACATGGTGAAGATTTGCTATTGTACAGGGTGTCCCACATCATATTAGATCGTGTATAGCTCAAAACTGTGATTTTAGGGACTAATCAGAAAATTTAAAAACAATGAATCATTTTTATAAAACGTGAAAGGCTTTTATAAAAGTTTTTCGAGTATTATGTGCGTATTTTGGCGTTAAAGCTTGGAGATACTCTAATATGATATGCGACGCTCTGTATATAAAAGTGACTGTGATGTTTTTAATAATCACCTATTAAAGATATGATTTTTTTTTGCAATGCTCTTTCAGAGAAGATTTCTCCTCGATTTTGCTTACAATTTTATGGGAATAAAAAGCTGTTTTTTATTTGTTCCCAAACAACATTTTATACCGGAAATAACATTTTATACCGGAAATAACATTTTATACCGGAAATAACATTTTATACCGGAAAGCAGATTTCCCATTTTGTGCTTTGCGGATTTTAGAAAATAATCCCACATTTTTATGGAACTTGAATTGAATTGAATAAATCCAACCCTCTTGTGAGCCTTTGGGAAAATATATTTTTTTGTGATTTTTATTTTATTGTTTTGTTTTGGTTTAAATAAAAATCTTCAGATATTCTTTCAAATATAAAAATTGTGAATATTGAATAAAGTTGGTAAATACGTTTTACAAATTTATTTTCTTCCTATTAAACAAACAAAAATTTAGAAAAGAAACAATTTATTTTCTTCATAGCATTCATTCCCGGCATTGGTTGGCATACGTTTTTTCAAATATTTAGCATATTACGAGAATTGATTTGCAAATGATTATCATTATTTTCAAATAAATACACTTCCATTGCAATTTTCTAAAAATAAATATATTTACCTGTTTGAAACCAAATCCTTGGGCATCTACTATGGCAGTAATCCCTGCTATCTGGGTTCGCTCTTCTCTTTACAGGATAAATCAAAACACAGTTATTACAACAATAAAATAATTTTTACAAATGTACTTTTATAAGAAAAGCTTGAATGAATTAAAAAAGGCTTAAAAGCTTAAATAAATTAAACTGTATTGGTAGTAATGAACTAGTACACGTTCTCGCGGGATTTATTTTCTCTCAAGGATTTGACATGACGGATTTAAAGTTTTAGATTTGACAAGATATCTGTTTTCCCTACAATCTCAAAACCTATGTCAGACTTTGGTATTGTTAATATACATTGATAGAAATTCTTAATCCATATATCATATATCTTTATTGTTCTGACTAATTAGTTTTTCACAACCAACTATAAGCACTTAAACTTGCTACATAATAAAGCAAAAGTCCAACCTCGACTTGTTATATTGAATTGCTTGGTTTGGTTTAGGGTTTTTTTTACCTTGCAATCATTTCGCAGAGCATGTATGAAGCACAGAAGATATCATTGAAAGGAATCTAATATATTCTAATTCAAAACTAATTTTCCGATTTTGATATATTTCATTGCCGCATAACTCATATTGCTCAAAATTATGAACTTTGTTCAGGATTTAAATATTGTGACATATCCCTATCATTATTTGTTTAAAATGTCAAACAACATTTGAGTAATTTTAGATGGCCATTTTTAAACAGCAAATTGCGAAACTCGTCTTTTATTGGACGTTTCCTATTTAATTGTTTTTATTCCAACCTTGAGATGTAACTTGTCTCACCGAATTAATAACTATACATATTTACTGATTAAAAAGAATCTACTTTTAAATTTTCCATTTTTAAAATTAAATAAAGTACAAATAAAGTACATATGACTTGGAATGCTAACGAAAATAAGTTTCGGTTTGGAATAAATACAATAATCTTTTTTGCTTATAAATATTAAACCTTATCTGGATTCCATTTCCCAGGTCGAAACACGTAAATTCTTCTTCCATGCCCATCCCTACAATAGGTGATGTATCATTTGGGTTTCACGACGGAAATAATCAAGGTTATTTATTAAGGCAAGATACTCTGGTGCTCTCAATTTACGGTAAATGTCGTCTTCATAGCAATTGACACTCAAAATCCTGATATGACGTAACTGATATTATTGGTGGAAGATGAAGTGACAACGCTGTTTGTGAGAGGGAGGAAGCAATTTCTCCACTTTTACAGCTGACAATCGGAGAAAATCCTTCCCCCCTCTCACAAACAGCGTTGTTACTTCATCTTCCGCCAATAAGCAGTTACATCATATGTGGGTTTTGAGTGTTCATAACTGTGAACAAGACATTTTCCTGACATTGGAGATATAGTTAAAATAGCAATTATACATTTTGCACAGAAAAATCTATTGTAAGGTTTAACAATCTGTATCATAGGCGGTTTCGGGGCGGGGGAGGGGCAGTCCATTACCCCCTCCCCTAAGTGAAATCAGGTGGGGGTATAACCCCCCTGGATTTTTACAAATCATTTCTCATATAAAGTATAGTTATTGTTATATTGTTTTGGTTTCTCTTAGATACCATTCTGTTCTTGAATGTGTTTAAAGATGTAGACTCCTTTATATAGTCCGGCAAACTGTTCCATGGGTTTATCACTCTCACAGAAAAAGAGTTTATGTAAAATGTATGTATGTAAATATACAACTCTGAAAGTTATTCATCAAACATCTATGATAGCCTCGTTTTTAGCAGCTAGAACTAGCAGTACAGTACAAATACAGTGATATCAACGGGATAGTGCGCACTTATATATAGACAACTATGAAAGTTATTCATCAAACATCTAGATAGCCTCGTTTTTAAAGCATCGCAACGGGTTGGACTTTGAGTTTATCTCATTAAGTATTTTTTGTGATCCTAAAATTTATGCATTCTAAATCTGTAAAAAGCTTATTCCTAGCTTAAATTAGAAAGGAGTTAGTGAAATTTATCTGATATAGAATTTAGTTTGAATTAAAACGAAATAAAATCATGACATTACAATTTGTTCTCTACAAAAGACAAATTTATTGTGCATGTGCATAAGTCATTGTTACTCACCTAAAAGGTAGCATTGCTTGTATCTGTGACGGGTAAGTAGATTTAGCCAGCTCTTCAATACTTGAACAAGACTTTAAAAAAAATGCAGTTTTAGCATGAAGATGAAATTCCATCTAATAAAAAAGGTGTTTAGGTTTATATAAATTTTAGATGATACAGAAGTCGTTATTCAGAAACTCTATTTGTTTATATATTTCGTGCATTTTTAAGCAAAGTTATTCCGTTCGTTTTCTCAGAAATATTATTTTGTTTTGTTCAATAATTACTGAAAATTAACGGTTTTTCGTTAATTCATTATAAAAAAGGTGTTTGCAATAGCAGAGCGTAGACTAAATGTAAGCAGGGCCTGACCTTGAAATACTGTGGGTTGTTCATTTTTAGTTTGTAGTAGTTCCGAATTATCTCCATAGATGTCTCTGGATCCATCAATCCCCCGCGCAGAAACTTCAGATAAAACCCATTTTCTAAAAACAGAACATTTTGTTAAATGGTAAATTTTTGATGCCAAGGGAAATATTCTAAAATATTTGTAAATAGATACTCTGAGAGTTTTACCTGTTTTTTGACTTACAGGGTTACCTTGTACAAAGGATAAGATTATTAAGACTTAACATTTTGTTAAAAAAAGATTTCAATGTTACATTATGTTTCCTGCCTTGTCTTTTATTTACTTTTTTAATGCTTTGGTTAAGAAAAAAGCATGTGTACAGTTGCAGAGAATCGAGGAAATTTAGACCGTTTAAATTCCGTACAGTTGTCGTCTCTGGAGTATCATACTTAGTGGGTAACCATGAATTATCTGCTTAACTAAAGAGGAATAATATTTTAATGATAAACTGGGTCTCCAGTATTATCTCCTTAACTAAAGGGGAATAATATTTTAATAATAAACTGGGTCTCCAGTATTATCTTAACTAAAGGGGAATAATATTTTAATAATAAACTGGGTCTCCAGTATTATCTCCTTAACTAAAGGGGAATAATATTTTAATAATAAACTGGGTCTCCAGTATTATCTCCTTAACTAAAGGGGAATAATATTTTAATAATAAACTGGGTCTCTAAGGAATTCTAACCAGTTGGAAGTTTAAGGTTTGGGTTTTCTTTTTCTCCCAGTTCTCGCAGCTGCAGGATCAATCCTAAACCAACAAAAAATGTTACAAATAATTTTAGAATCTCTTCAAAGTGCGCTCATTCATCACACAGGTCTGCCTTTTTAGTTATCGTAAATTGGCGGTACAGTCCAAACTAGGACCGCAAAGGTTGGCCCATACTTAAAAAGTGTTTTACTGCAGTAGAAATGCGCTATTCAATTTTATAGTAAAACTACTATTAATATAATCAGTTCTAAAAATTATAAATACTAATTTTAATTCATACTTGATCAGACAAAACTTTAAAGGGTACCGTTGTGAAAAGGCACATGGGCATGTTTGCATGGAATATCACTTGAAATTATCTTTATATATAGTCCATTTAAGTTGAATTTTAAACATCAGCCAATCATTAATTCAAATATTGCAAATATGCTTAAAAAACAAATGTAAACACAGAAAAATAGCAGAAATCGGAACTTTTGTTTAATTTGGACACTTTTGAATTTGCTTGATCCCTCCATTAAAGTTATCCCTGCAGGGTATGACCACCACGAGATTTCGGATAAAAATGGAGTTAATTTGAAGATTTAGATCGATGGTTGATCCCGAGATTCAAAACTCAAAAATTCTGGCTCCAGATAAGCATATACCTTGAACTTTGTCTGGCTCCTCCTTCAACAGGGATAACGCTCTTTCCCTCCATACTTCCTAAACAATATTCTTCAAATAAATTTAATTTTTAATTTTATAATTGCCATGAACATTGCTCTTGTTGTAAAATATTTAGTAGAGATTATTTTTGTTATTAAATAATTTTTCTCATTTCTGTTTTTTCTTAATTTTCCTTCTCTCTAATTTTAAGTTGTTAACACAGAGAAAAAATCGTTGATTAACAACGAATGGAAAATATAAATCTGTATAATAAAGTTCTTCGCTTATAAACAGTGGCAGGCGATTAAATTAATACAATGAAGACGACTTTTTAATTTAAGTTTTGATTGTGAACAAGCTTTTTTTTAATTACAAGTTCACAAGTAATCGAAAAAAGAAACTTGTTTAATTGACAGCTTATCTTGAATATGTATATGTGTATCCATGTTGTTTAAAAGGTTGATTCAAATTAAAATTAAAATCGGAAGTCGTCTTTATTGTATTGATTAAATCGCCTACCACTGTACTACATTATACATACATGTCTATGTTTATATGTTAGCTATGGCTACCCAAACGGCTGAACGAATATGGCTGAATTTTTGTTAAGAAACTCATGAGTACCCTGGGGGTAACATAAATTATATGTAAATACAACAAAGACGATATCTATTAAAAATTTTATTTCTAAGCTTTTAAGCAACAGCAGAAACACTTGTCAATTTTGTTTAAATTTGCTGGTTAGGCCTAGGGATTAAACGAACCAAAAACGTAACAAAACCGAACCTGTGAAAACGAACGTTTTTGTTTTTCCATTTGTTTTAGGATAACGATATATACAAAGTTTAATAAAAGCAAACATTGACCGAATACATTTTTAAAGTGTGAGAAGTTTAATTTAAAGTTTTTAAAAACGAACAAAACCGATGAATGCATCTCTACTATTGATATAAGTACTTTCCGAATTCGTATTTGCTGTCTAAAAGTACATAAAATAAGTGAATCTGCAACAACTGATAACACGCTTTTAAAAAAATATTTTTTTTTTTCAATTGAGAAGCTGAAAGTCCACCACGCTTATCTGAACTTTTTTTTAGATTTAAAATAAAAGAAAATAATAATTGCAATAAGAACGTCATGTTTGTACTTCAAGAAGTTTACAAAATTTACAATCTAAGATAATTTTCGACATAAAAGTTGTTTAAAAATACTGTCCCCGCAATTTCAAATAAAAGCACATTTTAACGAAGATATTTTTTTTAGAATCTGAAAATTGATAATTGGTAATTTCCTAGAGAACGATTTTTGGCCCCCCGGCCCCCCATCTCCTGTCAATTTTGTACATGCATCTCATAATTAACACAAGGATTAAGATAGTCATGTGGCTGCAGCGCGCGGCCCACTAGCCTGTCCTAGCCACGGCGCTCGGCCCCCTAGCCTATCTTAGCCGTAGTGCTCAACCCCTAGCCTGTCATAGCCGCAGCCCTTGGCTAAGAAAATGTCTTAACCTAACCCAAAATATATACTAATTTTGTTGAAAATTGAAGGCCTGTCCTAGCCGCAGCGCTCGGCCCCCCAAGCCTGTCATAGCTGCAGCGCTCAACCCAGAAATTGTCCTAACCTAACCTAACTCTAAAATACTGCAAAATAAATATTTTTCGTTGAAAATAGTCCAAGTCATGTACAAAATTGAAAGGAGAGGAGGGGGGAGGAGGTGAGGTGGGGCGGGGGGGGGATCAAAAATAGTTCTCTAGGACAGACCTTGATAATTTCCAATTGTGGGTTCGTAGTACACTGAAAACTAAGATGTGCACGCTCTCACGGAAAAATCAAGTAGTATTTTTCCAATTACTCTTTTCATGCCTAAGCAAGAAACAAGTGCGTTGTATTTTTAAAATGTATATGTCTAGGATTACAAAAAAGTATAAGTGAGTTAGTTATGTAAAACCAAAGGCCAAGTCGTTGCGACAATTTAAAGTCAAGGCTGATGAGTAACTTTCAGAGTTGTTTATAATTCAGTAAGTAAAAGTGACTTCTTGAAGGAACGATTATAGAATTGATGTCAAAATGTAAAATTTTTCTCCAGAATCTTTAAAACTTGAAATTTCTTCCAATTAAACTTTATCACCGTGAAAACGCCTGCATAAATTATTTATAAAAATAATTATCATAATGATATAATTTTTTTTATTGTCCATGCTCCGTGGATAATTAACAATCGTTTATTGTTGAAGATGCATGATTTTTTTAACGAACGTCTTGAAAAAAGTCATAATATCCCTAGCCTTATCCGAAAGTATTAGTTCCTAGTTGTTAAATATTTGATTGTTCTAGTTTCTGATAGAACCGTTGAGACATTTTTTTACTCACTCAATCTTTTGTTACAAATTAGAAATGCAATGCATGTCGTGATACATTATTTTTGGAACATAATTTTAATCGTTATCTATATATATATATATATATATATATATATATATATATATATATATATATATAAAGTAACCTCTATTTGTCTGCTTGTTAGAATATCCGATCAAAACTCCTTGACCGTTTTGCTTCAAATTAATTGAGGAACTCGTTAAACCACTGGAATGTTCTCAGCATGGTTTGAAAATTCTAAATTGAGCCTTTTAACTTTCAGAGAGAAGAAAATTTTAATTTAAAGGGACCGTTCACTTATTTGGATATTTGAGGGTAAACTAAATAGCCTTGAGCTATTCATGGGTATTAGTCCAACTTTTGAAAGACAACTGTGGCCTGAGAAAATGCCGATTTATCATTCAAAATTCCAAATTTATAATATTTGATGCTTTTTGTCATAGTCATGGATTAAACAAAATTTAAAATATTAAATTAAATTTTAGTATCTAATAGTTAATTGTAGATATCTTTAATATTTTTCAGAATTATTTTAAAATTGTCTATTTTTAAAAAAGAACTTATTCTCAACATTTGACGGTTTGATACGTTTTTCCTACTTTCCCAGGAATCCCATGATTTATTAAAGAGTTGGGAGTTGGGAGTTGTTATCTTTTTTAATTATGTATGAACATGAAAAACATTAATTTTTTATGCTAATTCTAATATCAAAAGTTTTTATATTTTATTATTTAATGGCTGACGCATGTGATGCATTGAAGTATGATAATTATAGATCTTATTGGGCTATAAGTGAACGGTTCCTTTCAAGATCTCAAGCTCTTAAGCAAAAATTTTGCCAATTACTTCTTAAAAACCAAAGCTAACAATATGTCCTTCATGAAAAGGACTGCAGAAAAGCATAAGTGAGTTAGCGCGGTAAAATCAAAGCACAAGGCATTGCGGCATCTTCAAAGTCGACCCTGTCTTAAAAATGAATGAGATTTTTTATAAACATGTTGAATCCTTGTGAGATATGATTATATATAAAAAAATAAATGTTTTTATGAAACTATTTTTCTACTCACTTCATGGTGAATTTCATTATGAACGTGCTAAAAAATGATCATCGTGCTATAAAGTTAAATTAGCTGCACGTTTAAAAGTTTTGATTGGTTTCCGGATTTTCTCCAAAAAATTTAGGGTATTTGCAAAATTTTTTTTCAATATAAATGAAAAGAAAATTGAGATTAACTTTATATTTTTAAGTTTATAAACGTTTTTTAAAACTATCTTTAACACTATTATTTTGGCACCACGTGCAAAGTTTTTGGACTTAGATTTTCTCTGTATCTTAAAAGATCGAACCATAGAAGCTTGAACCTTATCGATAAAGAGAAAAATGATGTCCAAAAACTTTATAACACTGTGAACCAAAATAATAGTGTTATTAATAGTTATTAAGGATCCTAATAGCACAGTTGAAATACCTCTAATTCTCCTGTCTCGAGTTGGATTTCAGTGTAGGACATCGTAAATCAATCAATCACAAAATAATCTTTGACTTAAACAACAAAGACGACTGTCCAATGCTTGCCGCGTTCTTTATTTTATTACAGTTTGTGCGCACTGTCGTGAACTTAAAGTACTGAGTTTAACAAACTGTTTTGTTTTCCATGCTTATCAATTATATTATAATGACCACTTTATCATATATTCACAGCAAGCTTATCATTCAAATTTGTTTAGAGGACTTAATAAGAGGGGCGTTCGAAGGATGTTTGACATGCCTTTTTAAAGTGCATTTAAAAAGAATAATAGATGATAAATAATAAAGCATATTACATTTCATTACAAACTTGGGCATGAGAGAGGATTGCAATTTAAAATATAAGTTAAAAATCAAATATTTACTTTCATGTGCGCTAACATTATTGCACATTTAAACGACATACCGGCTATGTAAGGTAGTTGAAGTATGCAATGTTGTGGACAAATTCTTTAGAATTCATTTGAGACATATAAAACTTTTTAAAGATCTATAAATCCTGGTTTGAGTGCAAAGTCGACGTTCAAAATCGTACTTTTGGGTGGATACGTTTCAGAATCGTTTTTTAAAGTACTAAATAACGACGACGAAAAATAAAGTAAAAATCATGTCAATAAATCAATGCTAGAATCAATTACTTCCTTTTCATCATTATATTAAATTTCTTATTTTCTTTGAATTTATTCGCATGTTTCTTCAAATTCTTCAAATGTCGTCTTTTCAATAATAATTCCAGAAAATCTGCAGAAAATCTTTGTGAATAATGAGAAAATAGAAACTAATAATTGAACACGATTACTTATTTTTGATGATAAGATGATTTTTGTTTTCTCAAACTCAGGATTTACAGATCTTTAAAAAGTGTTATATGTCTCAAATGAATCCTAAAGGATTTGTCCACAACACTGCATACTCAGGTTAACTACCTTACATTGCCGGTCTGTCTCTTTAGCGCGCAATATAATGGAATTATGTAATGTTGTTGTTCTTAGTTGCAATGTTTGTAAAGAAAATGTCTTTTCACTTAGAAATTACTTTTTCCCTTTCATGCAATATTTTGTGTTTAAATTAATTTTTATTTAAATTTATTATTTATTATTTATTTATTTTGTGTTTAAATTAATTTTTGAAAATCTTTTTATTCTTTTATTCTTTCTGTTTCTCACCCCGGATGAAAAATCCTGTTGAAAAGCAAAAAAAGTCAACAAGTTCAACTTGAATCCTTTGTTCAAAAACTTTATACAGGTTTACCCACAAAGCATGTAAAGACGACGGGCAAGGCTTCTAAATTATGACGATTTTAAGGTCAAATTAGGTCTTCTGCCAAAGATATAGTAGTTTAATGGCTTATTGAATGATTTGGCAAAGAAACAAACAAGTTTACGGATGCGGGGAATCATGAAAATAAGGAAACAGACACTAAAAATTCCGTAGAATCGTCTCTGAAGTATCATCCTTTGTGGGTTGCACTGTAAACACTGGTTAATTTCTAGTTCCTGGCCGAGTTTTAACCAGCTATAGATCAAGCTGTACTTTAAAATTACAGGCTACAAGAGGCAAACTGGGACAGGACACTAAATAAATAACACCCTTCTAGTGAACTTTATGTGGGGGGTTAATCCTGTATATAAAACCAAAAGTACAATATACAAGGTGAGTCAAAAAAAAATGTGATTTGCGGCGCCTGGTGCAAAAGTGTAACTTTTTTGTGCAACTCTTCTGTATGGTGTTTTTTTAATATTTTTTGAAAATTTGTATTTTTTTTGGTACGATGGCCATCAATGGCCCCAAAAAATATCCGCGAACCTTTTTTTTCTTTCAAAATAAAAAGTTCAGAAAAACAAAAATGTTTATATAAATTGTTTCTATCGAAATCTAAAATTTTAAAAAGATTGAATCACAGAAAAACAGAAAAATTTGCAAAATTGTAATTAGAAAATTCGCAATTTTCAGTTCTGGTATAATTTTTACGGAATATACATTATTATGGTTCTCAAGGTTTCAACTGAACAGCGTATATTTAATAATTTAGAATATACTAAGAAGAAAGGAACTAGAGAATTTAAATAACTTTTCCTTAAAAATTACCCCAGAACTGAAAATTGCGAATTTTATTATTACAATTTTGCCAATTTTCTTTGATTCTGTGATTCAATGTTAATAAAATTTTAGATTTAGAGAGAAATAGTATGAATGCACATTTTTGCTTTTCTGAACTTTTGATTTTGAGAGAAAAAAAGATTCGCGGATTTTCTTTTGGGCCATTGGAGTACAAAAAAAAAATTACAAATTTCCAAAAAATATGAAAAGACACCATACAGGAGAATTGCACAAAAAAGGGTACAATTTTGCACCAGGCGCCGCAAATCACACTTTTTTTTGTCTCACCCTGTATATTGTAATTGTAATAGTTTCACAGGTACAACAAAATAAAACATTACAAAAGTCAAAGTATCGAAAAAAATAAAATTTTTTCTTAATGCTTTGTACACTAATTAATAGCTTTTTATCATGAAAGTTCATTAGTATAAGGTAAATAATTAACAAATTTATTTGATCAAATATTTATTATTTATGTCCTGAGAAACCCCTTTTATCTCTTGTCCAAAAAGTAGCTCTTGACTAAGATTTAAGATTCGATGATGGTAATGGACCAAACCTCTGTAGAGTAAAAAAGTAGATGTTCATTCCACATTTATTGAAAATATATTTCAGTCTGGGCTGACCCTCGTCAGTTCTTGAGATTGTTTCTTCACAAAGATTAAAAACAAACACGCGTCGTTGGTTGGTTATTTAACCATAGGAGGATTTCATGAACCTCCATCTTTGTACCAATTTGATTTTTGTATTCTATAGATCGAAATGTCTTTGGTAGTTTAGATACAGGGTGTCTCACGAAACATGACAGTTAGTAAATAGTTTAAAATGTCTTCTTCCATAATATTTCAAGTTGTTTGTTGCCAAAGAGAATAATAATAAATATTTTATGGCAACCATATTATAGTAAAATTGATATCTAAGTAAAATGTATTTGAGTAAAGTTCTTTAAAACTAAATAAACTGCAAAAAGTCTTTAATATCTAATACAGTTTATGGAGGAAGATATTTAAAACTATTCACCAGCTGTCATGTTTCGTTATGTCAAACACAACGTTAGTCAAGTTCTTCAGGAACTGTCGATTTATTTGTAAAATCAATTTTTCAATCTTCATAAGTTAACAGCCTGATTCTGTCAACTTTTGAAATTTAATTTTTTTTGTTGCAGATTTAATTTATTTACAATAGTTACTATTGTAGAGATACACACACCTGTTGCCCTTAGTTGTGTCTTGGTGCTCAGTGCGTTCACATCTCTGCCCGCTCAACATCTCCTTGGGCGTTACAGTCTCCCAGAGTGGACAGTTTATTAGTGTGTTTAGGCAATGAAATAAAAACAGTGATAAAATGAAGGGATTAGGATTTTTATTGATAACTCTAACAGTAGTTTCTGTGAATTCCAAAGGTATGTTTAAGGATTAACTAAACCCCATATTTTAGAGTTTAAAATAATCAAATCTGGTTTTGAAAGCGTGGGTTGTTTTTATTCTTATAGCATACCATCTGTGGATGATTCAACCTTATTATATGTACAATGGACAATATACAATGTACCATGTACCATTTAAAGATAATTGTACAAAGAGTTGAATGTGTACTGCCAAAGGAAGGTCTGAGTAAAATTGAATGCTAATATAAAAAAGTTATACAGATGTTAAAGTTTTAAGAATTATGTTCGAAAAAAGATGTCCGAAAAAAATTAAAAGAATATATGCATTTTACTGTTATTAAACAGCAAGAAAATAAACAAAATAACTTATTTTAATATTATGGTATGGTAAAGAGGGGAGAGGGTCCCCCCCCCCCATTTTATCCCCGTTCATTGTCAGGATGAAAATGTAAAAATGACTGCATGCATTTAACCTATAACTAAGCCTGGCCTTGGCCAAGCAGTTAGTCCGGCTTTTTCGCTGGCTTTAGAGTCCTGGCGCACATCCAAGGGGAGGGGGCAATGGGGGCAAGGCCCCCCTAGTCTAATTAAGGGGGAGGGCAAAAAGTCCTTAACACTTGTCCATATAGTTCCAAATATTATTAACTTTTTCGAAAATTTAATTAAAAAGCCCCCACATTAATTTTAATAAACCTAAACTCATTTCTGCATATTTTTCAATATAAGCTCAGGTTCTTTTTAATTTTGCCAAATTGGATTTTTAAAATGATGCTCACACATTCTTATTCAAATTGCACCACCAGATTTAAATTAGCTCCCTTTTTTAGAATGCCACCGGATATTTATAATTTGCACCTACATTTAATTTAATTTTATCCCCAAATGTTTTATAAATACACCCAATTTTAAGGTAATTTCTCCAAAATTAGGAAGTTTTGCGCCCAACAAAAAAATAACCCTTTGATTAAAAAATCTCTTTGAAAATGCCCTTAAATAAAAATATTTTCCCCAAAATAAATATTTAAGATTCACCATTGAAAATTGCCCAGACTAAAAAAAAGCCCCTCAAAACAGAATTATCCCCTAAAACATAGATTTAAGATTTACCCTAACAGAAAATTGCCCCCCAAAAATAAAATATGCCCCGGAAATAAAGATTTTTCCCACACACATTTGCCCCAAACTGGTAAAAGAATGCTACCAAATATTAAAAGGAATTGAGTCTTTGTCACAAACTCAAATTTTCTATTTCCTATATCTTATATATATATGTATGATATTTTAAACTTAGATTATTTCATCTACTAGAATTCATAATTTGAAATATTAAGGCTATTCGACACATGGGTAACAAAGATATAGGGATTAGACAATCTGAGTTTGTGGCAAAGACTCAAATCCTTTACCCCCAAAATATCTTTATGGTTTAGTAATAGTATAATACACATTTTTCTTGCCCCTTCCCCCTAGAAATGTTTAAGGAGGGGCAAAAAAAAATGTTTAGCGCTACGCGAGTTTGCGATTCCCGCTACTATTTACGCTTCCATGATTAACTTAACATTAGAAAATAAGAAAACCGCACATCAAAAAGACAAGACGTTTACTAATTTTGATCTTCAAACAAAAATTAATCCGTCAATTTATTTCAACACAAGACCAACTTTTTTTGGAAATTCAGAATTTTATAGTGAGAACCAGAAAACTGTGGAATAGGAAGACGACATTAAAAACAAGCGTATTTGAGGCAAACAGTGTCTTATGGTCTTTATGGTTCTCACTATTCACTAAAAAGAATGTGATTTTCAGAAGTTTTAATCTGAAAATATGTTTAAAAAGAATAGATACTGAGAAGTTAGTTGGTTTTCTTGTACCGAAAGTATTGAGGAATCTCCAGTTCGAGATTAGTATTGAGGAATCTCCAGTTAGAGATTAAGTTTATCTGTACGATACAGTATTGGGGAATCTCAAGTTCGAGATTAGTATTGAGGAGCGCTATGTGATTTGTTTATTACTAGCGATGCTTAATAGTTAATTGTATTATAATTTGTTAATACGATTATTCCGTGGTTATTGCAGTCTCGGTGGTCAATTGGCCCCAAAAAAAGATGAGCGTGGTAAATTTGTAAAAGCAGTTACATACCATGGGAAAATTGTGGTTATAATAATTTTTTTTTTTTCATTTTCTCATGAACTTTTTTTTGGTGGAGGGGGGGGGGTTGAGAAGGGAAAGAAGGGAGGGACAATTAGTAAGGTATAGAGGTAAGATAGAACAGAAAGAGGGAGAATAGAAGGGAATTGAAAAATGTACTAAGAATATTGATTGTTGAGCTGTATACAAGGACAAGCAAATATGGGTTAGTGAACAAGGCACATGAGATCTACAGGACAACTTAAAAAATATATTTTAAATTCCTTTCTAGCTTAAGTTTAAAAAGATTGATTGGCAAAAGACTACACGTTTTTTGCGTGAACGCGTGGACATTTTGGTTTGCAGTGAAGGGTGTTAAGTTTTGGGAGAGGGGGAGTGGGAATTGCAAATTGCGTTACCCCTACACAAAAGGTTTTGACTGCAGCAGGCATAAATAAATATTAACTTTTGTATCATCTATCAATCCATAATTTTATATTATTCTTATATCTTATTAATATATCTACAGTTAGTGAAAACTAGAAAACTGTGTAAAAGTAAGACGACTTTCAGACTCAAGTAATTTTTTGAAATAGTCCTTTGAGACCGTCCCATTTTACTGAATACAAAATCAAAAACAGAAATATTCTTTAAATGTCGTCATCCTTGTCAATAGCTTTCTGGTTTTTACCGTATTTAGCCATCCTTTCATTAATTCATCTATCTATCTATCTTTCATTTATTTTTAATCAATCTTTTTATCAAATATCTTTCTATCTTTATTTTTTTAAAATTAATCTATTTATCCATATATCAATCTATCTATAATATATTTTTAATCAGTCTATTTATTCATTCTATCTATCTATCTTCATATTATATAATTCCTTTGTCAAACATTGGGCGTAGGCGTTCTTGGGTTTAAACACAAATCTTAGATATAGCTCTAGCTTAAATAATTAATTCTATCTCTTACCCCCCCCCTCCCCCCATTATACCATTTTTAGACCACATTGTCAAATTGAGTCAATAAGTAAGATAAGATACTATGATTATGAATGTACAGTGAAGAATTAGGAGAAAATACACAGGAGCGTATTCAAGAATTTGTCCAGGGGGCTTAAATTTTTTTCTTTCCAGGGGGGGCTCAGCACCCGTTGGGGAATGAAAACCCCCCGAAATCAATAGATTACACTGGTCTATTGGGGGCTTAGCCCCAATAGCCCCCCCCCTGGATACGCCTCTGAAAATACATTAAAATATAATACACTATACTAATTTGCAGAAATTTTAAAATTCTTGGTAAAGTATGAAGTAAAAGACCATGAAGTTATATTTTACAAAATCCTAATCTTTCCTCCTCATGCTGTTTTCCTCCAATAAAACCAGACCACCTGGACTATATTCTATTAAACGGTAAATACCATGAAAATATTTAATCTGCACCTGAGAACTAGATAGATAAATAGTGAAACTTTAACATGTCGAACAAGCAAAATGTGTTTTTTAGAATAAATAATTAAAAAAGTTAAATAGAAAGTTTTTACTGTATATTTAAAATAAAAAATCCCCTTTTCTAGTTCGCAAACATCGTTTTGTTGATTGTATTGGCTTATTTAAACAAATGCTTAAAAAGCTAATTTAGTTTTACAATTATATAGTTATCATTATTAGAACCATTTTGGTACAAAATTGTTAGTTTAAATTTAAAGAAGTTTTAATTCAAAATGCCACTAGTACAGTCCATACTTAGGAAATACAAGGTGCGTGTTTAAAATCATGATAAATGTTTCCGTTCACATTTTGGTCACATTTACAGTGAGAACCAGAAAACTGTAAAATAGGAAGACGGCAATGAAGCAATAATTCAGAGTATTAATGATTTTGTTAAGAAATAAATAGTTCTACTAGTAACTTATTAAATCTCTTATTAAGTGAAATGGGTTTGTTTACACTGCACAATTGCTGTATATCATAATTGCTCATTACACTCTTTAAAGGGAGTGTTTGCGTAAAATGAAAGTGGGTATAGGCTTACGGCCAATAATAAGCGCTTTTGATCGCTACTAATCTTATTTCTATCTGTCACGTCTACTCTATAAGGAGAAAATGGTTAAAGACGACTCATACCGAAGAACGTAGAGTCCATACAAATTCAGAAAGTTGCAACATTCAACTCGGATCGTAAAAAATTGATATTTCATAATATTTTTATTTTTTTTCGATCTGAGAGTTAATTTTTAAAACATTTAATCATGTTTAGAGGATTTTTGATAAAGAAGACGATGTTTTCATATTTTCCAAGAATGTTCGAAAATCCAGCGCCAGCGAAATATTATTTTCAGTTCAGTACCGGCATTTCAGTTCAGTACCGGCATTTCAGCAGGAAGGTCCTATCTCTTTCTCTCTCTTTGGTATGATACCTGTCCCCAAGGTGGCCCCTACAGCTGTTGCTATGGGGCGAGATAAACACAACCTTTAGTTAACATACTTGACAATGAGTGTTACTCATCGAGTTCTGGGATTATATAGGGAGTGTTTACAAGCTGGTGTAGAGGTGGAGCTAAAACTGTGGTTCAGAGAAGGTATTGAGTACTTCAATTTCTCAAAATTGCAAGCTCCATGGTCTCAGTCCTTAAGAACCCGAAGGAGAAGGAGGAAAAGAATAAAGAGGAGAACATGTGAAAACACAAACCACAATGTCACCGCCCCGATGGAGGAGAGGTTCATGAGAGCCCCCCAGTCCGAGGAGAGGTCCGTGAGAGCCCCCCAGTTCGAGGTGAGGTCCATGAGAGCCCCCCAGTCCGAGGAGAGGTCCGTGAGAGCCCACCAGTCCGAGGTGAGGTCCATGAGAGTCCCCCAGTCCGAGGAGAGGTCTTTGAGTGCCCCCCAGTCCGAGGAAAGGTCCATGAGAGCCTCCCAGTCCAAGGAGAGGTCCATGCGAGCCCCCCAGTCCGAGGAGAGGTCCATGAGAGCCCCCCAGTCCGGAGAGAGGTGCATGAGATTCCCCCAGTCCGATGAGAGTTCCGTGAAATCCCCCCAGTCCGAGGAGAGGTCCATGAGAGCCTCCCAGTCCGGAGATAGATCCATGAGAGCCCCCCAGTCCGATGAGAGTTCCGGGAAAGCTCCCCAGTCCGAGGGGAGGTCCACGAGAGCCCCCCAGTCCGAGGAGAGGCCTATGAAAAACTCCCAGTCCGGAGAGAGACCCCTGAAAGTTCCGCAATCTGAGGAGAGGTCCGTGAGAGGCCCCCAGTCCATTGTGATTCCGCCAAATGTTGAAGAAATCTCAACTTTAACCCCCCAAAAGAAGAGAAAGACACGCTCTCAATCGTTAGTATCATCCCCTATTCCTCAGCTGGACGGGAATAATAAACATGCAAACTCCGAGTCTGAACCTGATCCAGAGCCTAAAACCCAACCTAACCCTAACCCCGGTGATTCTGAGGAGTCTGGCACTGAATCCGAGACCAGTCCTATATCTAAATCTGATCCATTACCCCCGTCAAATATGGATAACCCTATGTTTGGATATTGCGAAGATAAGCAGTGCCGGTTATGTCCAGTTAAATCAACTGAAAAAGTGGGAAACTACTATGCATGTTTTACAAATAGTTCATTAAAGTGCTGTTGTCAGGCTCTACACTGGCATTCTAAAACGAAAATCTGCCTGACATATAATGATATACAAAATCTATAAAAAAAGAAAATGTACTGAATCCTTTTAATTGATTAAAATAGTGAAAATGTTTAAAAACCAAACATAAAATGTATATGTAATCGTACAAATCTTAATCAATAATGTATGCATTCAACTTTTTACTGAATAAAAATATTTAGATTTAAAAAAAAGAAATATTATTTTTAAAAAAATCAAAAATATTATGAAATATCAACTATATACAAATGCATCGAAAAATAATCGATGACTAAAGGTTTTAACATCTAAATGATTTGTTTGGAATTAAATTGATTATTTTATGATTCGAGTTGAATGTTGTAACTTTCTGAATTTGTATGGACTCTACGTTCTTCGGTATGAGTCGTTTTTAACAATTTTCTACTTATAGACGCAACAGATATAGAAGTAAGATTAGGAACGATCAAAAGCGCTTATTTTTCGCCGTAAGTCTATACCCCTTTCATTTTTCGCAAACACTCACTTTAATGTCATAATTCTTGATTCTAAAAGTCATTTTTCTTATTTCACGCTTTTCTAGTTCTCACTTACGTATGTAAATGACATACAATTTTGGGCAATTAATTACCAGATATCAATATATTAACATGATATAAGATTTTGTTTAAATCAGAAAAATAACTAATTTAGAATTGTATGTTAAGGTCTGCACTACAAAGTGCACTGTGGATCTGATAGTATGCGAGTAGAGTTGGTTCAAAGGGAAGAAGTTAAAAACTTATATTTGCAAAACCTCAAAGATTTTCCAGGTAATGGGCAGGATTAATTTAAGAAATTCAGAGAGCTTCGTGTCTCAATCCTCTCATATTTTCTCTATCTCCATGTGTGCTATGCCATGTCCGGTTTACAACGGCACCCTTTGAATTTAAGGTCTTAGGGAACAATGTGAAATTTGCATGGAGTAAAGTGTACACTCTAAATACCCGGCACTCAATTTTTAGGTGAAACAATTTGGATTTCTCCGATGGTTTAACAGTACTGTTGTGAATCGAACGTATGTGAACGTATATAGTGATTCTTAAATTATGGCTAAAAGATTACGTTTTCCTTCCTGCTTTTTAGGAATTTATAGAAAACGCGAAAAAGTCGCACATTTAAATCATGTTGTTCGTTTTTAATTCAATTAATCTACGTTTAGTTTTGATTCTTAAGTAGTGTCATTAAAGTTTAAGTTTTGAGCCTTAAAAAAAAATTTTTGAAGTAAAAAGTTTGACTTGAACCATAAAATAAAATGACAATTTTCTGGCTTCACGGATTTTTAAAGCAATGTCAATTTTTGGTCTCTAAAAGGGGAAAAAGCAAAAGTAAATAATAAACAAATTTTAGTTTAGTTAAAATTAAAATTGTTCAAACTTTTTTTCAAAAATTAGTGATAATTAGATTACGTTTATTCAGAGCCAGCCTGCAAGCCTGTGATTGAGGGAAGAAAGGCGACATTTGAGCTCAATCTTGATGATATTTACCAATGTATGATCACTAAAGTAGTGAATAAGAAAACGGTAGGTTAATCTGGAAAAAGAACCCAGATAAGAAAATATATCTAAAAAAAGTTATAAAAATGAATAGTTTATTGTATTTGTCGGATGGTAGAAATCAAAATTGAAATAGAAAGTCTTCTTCATTGTACTAAAACATACGACGACGACAGCATGTCTTTATATGCAGTTAAATTGAAACCATTAAATTCAACTTCTTCAAAATTATAAAGCTGTATTTTTTACAATTTTATCAAAAAAGCTAATGTCGACAAAAAAGTATCTAAGAGAAAAAGTGAATAGTAGATGTTGAATATTGTTCGCTTAGTGGGATTAGAAAGTGTTTAAATCAGAGGCCGAATTTAAAGAATTTGAGCCGTGTCTCAAATTTGAAACGCGGTTCAAACCTGGTTAGTTCCACTTAAAACTATATTCGGTGTTTCAAGATTTGAGCCGGCGCTCAAATTGGAACCGGTTTTGGCGGTTCAGCTGCGCGGTTTAAATTCTTTAAATTCGGTCTCAAAGTTTGTTATTAAAAAAAAAATATTTCTTTTTTTAAAAACTCAGTTTAATTTTAAAGATTTATTTTTATCAATTAATGTTTTTGTTTAATCTAGGGGAGTAAGGTTTATTACCATAGAGTTGTTGTCGAGTATACGGATTCTACTCCTAAAGAGGTATTTTTTCAGGAACTGATGTGTACTTTCTAGTAACCCTTCATTTGAATAGGGCAATGTCCGATTCACACCGTTACTGTTGGGACCACATAAAATTTGAAATGACGACTATTCCTTTCAATTCGAATAATTTTAATTGGAATAATTCAAGTTTTTTCTTTTTTAAAGTTATCTAATTTTTAACCATTTAATAATTTTCTTAGATTTTTGTTAGGCTATTTTGAAAGGCTCAAAAAGGGAATAAGAAAATAATAATAAAAATAATAATAATAATATAATATAATATAATATATATATAATATAATAATAATTATAACACTAATTTATTCAGTTTTATTCATGATACTTTTAGTTAATCCAGTTTTTAATGAATTAGATGAATAAAAAAAGGATTTTAAGATTTATTTTATTTTCAGTCTATCCTGGTCAAATGTGACACAAACCTGACTCCTTTGGGTAATTCCTCGTACGATTCAGAGGTAGCTTACAAATATCTATCTAACTATCTATCTTTTATATCTATATCAATTATTTATATTTCCAAATCTATATATCTATTTATACAGTAAGAACACACAACTGTTGAATAGGAAGACGACTTTATAGAAATATTTAAGTGTATTTGATGTTACAAAGCAAATAGGTTTACTAGACAGTAGAAACTTATTAAATCACAAATTAAGGGAAATGGGTCTGTTTACACTGAACAATTGCTATATCCTATGCATAATGGACTAGTCATAAATAAAGTTTAAAAGTGATCTTCCTTTTCCAGAGATTTCTGGTGATCACTGTACAATGTACAACGATTTAACTAAAATTCAAGAGAAACCCTGCCATAAACTATAAATCTTTGATTTTCATTGATTTTCAGTTGATTAATTTAGGAAAAATATGCGAGCGAATTCTATTTTTAAGTTATCTCATTTCTTCAAACGATAAAATATTTCGTTACATTATAACAAAACATGTAAACTAGATCTGGTCTGTACAATAGTGCCATGTTTACTGTTTAGATCAGGATAGTGTCAAGTATGATATTCTTTTGAACATTTTTGTATTTTTTAAGTTGTTACTTTGATGATATTTTTTTTAGTATATTTAAGATTCATATATTCTCTATAGACGTTAACTTTCAAATTAACTATTGAAAATGTTGTATGCGGGTTGATTGTGGTTCAGGTTTCGGAATATCAAACCAATGAAAGAGAATGTTTGAGGTGTCAAAGTAAGATGACTAACGAATACAATTGCGATTTTCCTTGGATTAAATTAATACAACAAACTCAACAAGTCAAGAACAAAAAGCTTAAGCAAATCAAATCAAAGAGATGTTTGACATCAAAAAAACAAGTTCATATTTTTCACAATTTTTGGGATTTCAAAAAAATGTTCTTAAAAATTAAAAAAAATTTCGATTTCAAAATTATGTTCAATTAAAAATCTTAATTTTGGAAAATACTCTTAATTTTGCTCTAAAATTTTACACTATAAATCTTAAATCTAAGAACAGCGTTCTTAATTTTTGGGAGGGCAGGGGGCAAATAGGAATCTAATACGAAATATTTTTTTACTTTTCACGCCGCAGTTTTGTGAAATTGAAATTAAAAAAACAGCTTATGCTGTATAATCTTTGTAGATCCGTAATCTCCGTAATTCCTGTAATCTGATTGGTTCATATTTTCCCCGGGAAATTTGAATTTTCCGTCAGGGTTAAATTTACCGCATTCTTTAGTTTTAGACTTTAAATTCAAAGCAAAAAGCGTAGCCGTTTGCACTGATTCCGTGTCCTATGTAAGTTCGTTTCTAACTAAATTTTAAGTCTGAACGACGCCTTTTTCGTCCATATTTCTATAGTTCTTGTCTGAAGGCGTCTCTTTATAGTTCTTCTTAATTTTAGATTGAAGCTGTCTCTCTTGTTAAAAGACAAGCTGAATTCCCAGCTTCATTCAGTGAAGAGTAAGTTTGTTATACAGCCAATCTCATATGTAAGAATACATAGCAAGAGCGCATGAAATGTCGTCTTGAAATTTATTAAAAATTAAAAAGAAAGCTGCTGAGATGTTCGCAGTTGCATATCCAAATATCATTGTAGAGTCATAAGTTTTTAATAATTTTTAGGAAACTGCTTTTTAATTTTAATTTAAGGTAAATCAATAGCCCTGAAATATGAAAGACATAAATTGATACAGTAAACTCGTTTTTCCGCGGCATTTGATCTTAAAAATGTTGAGAATACGACATTAGAGAAAACTCTTACTATAGTATTTATATATCTGGGATTCACTGTATGATTTTTTATGCAATTATGTAATATGGATACAAACCGTGGAATGTATTTTTTTCTTTTCTTCCTTTTAAACCTAAAAAAGTTGTTTGGAATGAAGTATTTTGTAACTAATGTACTTTATAAATGTACTTTGTAAATGTACCCTGAAAATTTAACGTAATAAATACAGTGAAACCCTTAATAACAAATACATCAAATGTCGTATTCTTAACTTTCTGATAATGGAATGTTGCAGATATTTAATTTTTTAATTAAATGATTATATATTGAACTATTTAAAACTGTTCCCGCATATTCATGGTTATTTATTTATTTTCGCAAATACTATGATTTACGTAATATAGTATGAAACTCATTGAAAATTGTCAAAACGACATTTGATAAATTCTTTCGATGTATTCGTTATATAGGGTTTCACTGTACATATATCAATTACATAATATTAATTACTCATGACGAAAAAAAATGGGTTTATGGTTACTACCCCAAGTAGTTTTAAAAGTCAGAAGTATTTCAGTCCTTTTTGGTCAGGCATATACAAGTTTTAGTATTCCGACATTTTCAAGTGTCCGACGTTTGAAGTCAAATTTTAAAAGTCAGACGTTTGAAGTCCGACTGTTGATAGTCAGGTATAGGGAAGCTTGACTTTTAAAAAGTTTGAAGTTACAATATTGTTTTAACTGGCTTCTCAGTCTTTTCATTAGCTTCGTTAATCATATAATCATTTTTATCTTTGTTATTAAACAAATATTATATTCTCTTTAGAGAAGTTGAAATTACAAGTGAAGTTACTGGACATGCTCCCTCTCCTGTACTTAATGTTGGGGTCAGACAAGACGGAGTACTTGTAGGTAGGGATGGATTGCTTTCACTTTTTTAAAAAACGCTAGTTTCGTTTTGTTGACGATGTAGAATTACCGAAAAACGAAACGGCCGTTTTAAAAAACGATCGTTTTTGATAAAAATCGTCTTTTTTAGTTTTAGTTCGTCATTTCGTTAACAAAGATAAGTCGTTTTCAATTTTTGACGATCGATGACGATTCTGTACGAACATTAACGACGACCCTTCAGTTAAAACTGTTAACGACGAACATTCATTAACGATAAAACACATTTTTGGTCGGAAAACCCGTAGATCAAAAAACCTAAACTCATTTCCCTTAGTAAAAAAAACCATGTCAGATGGATTCTGGGAGGGAAATCATCATTATTGGAGTACTATTTATAGATACTCCCTTTCATTGGAGACCCCCATGGACGCCTCATTGGAGACCCCCAGATTCTCGTTGGAGACCCCTATATTTTCATTGGAGACCCCCAAGTTTTCATTAGAGACCCCCATAATTTCGTTGGAGACCCCAGATTTTCGTTAAAGGCCTCTATAATTTTGTTGGAGACCCCAGATTCTCAAAAATCAATAAATGAAAGGATAAAGGATGAATAAATTAATAGATAAAAAAACAATTAAAAGGATGAATAAATGAATAAATGAATAAAGGAATAAAGGAAAGGATGAATAAATGAATAAATGAATAAAATGAATAAATGAATAAATGAATAAATGAATAAATAAATAAATTAATAAATAAATAAATGAATAAATGAATAAATGAAAGAATGAATAAATTAATAAATGAAATAAAGAATAAATGAATAAATGAATAAATGAATAAATGAATAAATAAATAAATGAATAAATGAAAGAATGAATAAATTAATAAATGAATAAATGAATAAATGAATAAATGAATAAATGAATAAATGAATAAATGAATAAATGAATAAATGAATAAATGAATAAATGAATATTTGAATAAATGAATGAATGAATAAATGAATAAATGAATAAATTAATAAATTAATAAAATGAATAAATGAATAAATGAATAAATGAATAAATGAATAAATGAATAAATGAGTAAATGAATAAATGAATAAATGAATAAATGAATAAATAAATAAATGAATAAATGAAAAAATGAAAGGATGAAAGGATGAAAGGATGAATAAATGAATAAATGAATAGGTGAATAAATGAATTAAAGAATGAATATAAATCTAGATGATGAATTGAACGTGAAGCCTGGAACTCCCTTGAATATGGAAATATATCTGGATAATATCAGCAAGGACATATATGGACTTCTTGGTAACAATATTTAATAATTTTTAAACCAAAAGTTTTTTTTTCGGGATTCAAGAAAAATTGTTGCATACCAAAAAACCAGATTTTTATGACAGAATGATTTGTAATGATTTTTAAAAAAAAAATAGATGGATTTAAATTAGATTGCATTTTTCATGAAACTACTAGTTACAAAAAAATTTTAAAATTATTACAGAATTTTTTTTATTTTTTATTTAAATATTTTTAGTTTCTGGCATGGAGGTTACAGATACCAGATCACAGACAGAACCTATTCTTGTTAATGGGTAAACGATATCTATCTATCTATCTATCTATCTATCTATCTATCTATCTATTTATCTATCTATCTATCTATCTATACTGTCAGTTGCCTGAGTCCAGTTTTGTCCTGTTTATACATAACAACAACAATAATAATAATAATAATAATAATACTTGAATCTGACCTGTCAGTTCCCTGAGTCCAGTTTTGTCCTGTTTAAAGGCACAGTGAATGTGTGCCTGGATACGTGCCAAGGGGTAAGTGCTGAATAATCCTACAGGGTTACCTGCAAAGGATGAGACTTCACATTGTACGGATTTTTCTACTGTCTGTTCCTTATATTCAGGATTCACCGCAGTCTCATCCTTTGTGGGTAACCCTGTATATTTTATAGCGATGAAAACGTATATCTATGTCATTATTTTTTTCGTACTCAATACTGCCTTTACATAGTGAATTCTCTATATGCGTCCTTATTGGACATACGTCCTCATAATGTGTAATTAATATGCTTTCTCATTGTGTTGTGTGACCTTGCAGTGCTCCCTCTTTGTGCGTCCTCATTGTACGTTCTCATTGTGTGTCCTCGTTGTGCGTCCTCATTGTACGTCTTTATTGTTTCGTCCTCATTGTACTCCCTCATTGTATGTCCTCATTGTGCGTCCTCAATGTACATCCTCATTGTATGTCCTCATTGTGCGTCCTCAATGTACATCCTAATTGTACGTCCTCATTTTGAGTCATTGTAAGTCCACATTTTGCGTCCTTAATATGCGTTCTTATATATGCAACTGCAATTAACTTTCCTTGCATTATAACCTTGGATTGAGAGTTCTTTTTTAAAAATCTGTTTCACTAGGTTCAGTGTTCCAACGGGCAGATTGGATACGGTCGAAGGAGAAGAGAAATCTTTGACGATGCTCCAGACCCAAATAAGGTATGACCATGAAGCACTTTTTTAGGGGCGGGGTATAGAGCTCTGCAACCGCCCCTGGTTAGTGGTTTTTGTATGAAGCAACTTATTAACTTTTTATTTATTTTATTTTGTAATTGAACAAAAAATAAAATAGTGCTTCTTATGCTATACCCAACGCTTACTCAATATATTATAATAAAAAATTAAGCTATTTATATTTAGATGACAAAAGTTTTTACCTTACATTATGATTTACTATTGCAGTTTTCATCATTCTTTTACTATTGCATTCTTTAATGGTAAACGTGTATCGGCGTGGTACATTTTCTCTAAAAACTGTAATTTTGATTAAAATTTGTATCTTTATTGTCGGAGTGTAAAAAGATGTTCATACATTTTTCAGTTATACAGTGATATTCAGAAAAACTATGGAAAAGGAAGACGGCATAATAGCAATACTTTAGTGTATTTTATGTTGTTACAAAGCAAATAGTTTTACCAGATGACACTTATCAAATTACTAATTTAGTGAAATGGGTCTGTTTACACTGCACACTTGCTTTGTTTCATGCTTATATGGAACGTTTTAACGTTATAACTTGATTATAAAAGTTGTCGTCTTATTTCAGAGTTTTCTGCACTTTTTGTTAGTCACTTTTTTTAATTTGTTTTTTTTTCTAGGTTTATGAGATCTCAATGTCAACCATTATTAAAATGGAGTGTAAAGACTGTCAAGAAATCCAGGAGTTTAAACAACTCAAGGCAGGATCGCACATTTGACGCCATTTTGTTTTTAAACAACCATTTTTATATTCCAAGCGGCCATTTTGTACAGGGTTACCCACAAAGGATGAGACTGGAAATAACGACTTGAAACTCTTAAAATATTATTTTAAAGTTAAATAAAGTGTTTTTCTATAAATATTGTCTTTTAATGGATTCTTTAATGATTTGCCGTATCTTCTCGTAAAGTTTTTAATCCGAATCATTTTCAAAAAGGTTTCTCGATTTTTTTTCATTTTGAATTTTGAAGGTACTGATTTTTTCTTTAAAATAATTGTCGAAAATGTTTCGATCTAGGAACTAGAACTGAAAGAGCTCAAAGAAGAAAAAATCAACGTTCTGCATGGTAAGATTGATTAAACAAAGAGAACTTATAGATATACTTAAAACATACAGTCGTCGTATATATCATTACAATGAAGACGACGTTCTATTTTAATTTTGATTTCTACCAAGCTTTTAGAAACACCTAATAATGTAAACAGAGAGAGTATGTCAACGAACAGCCTCACTCAGTTTACATGTACATTTTTTGTTTGTAAAATTCTAGTAGGGATCAAAGAATTTATAAAAAGTCGTCTTCCTTGTACTGATATAAACGCCGACCACTACATTTTTTTCAGAAACTGCCCATGTTCAATCTTTCAAGGCGAATGAGGATGCAGCTGTGAGTGCACTCTTCGAAGAATTTAAAACTCCTGGATTTTCTGTTTTTGAAAAAAGTTCCTCATCAACGACGACATTTCAATTCGTTTTGCTTCTTACTGTGTGTCTTCACCTTTTAAACTAAATTGATAACTTGTGCTAATGTGATATGAAAATACTGTAAACTTTTAAAGACTTAATCGACTAAGTTCATCAAATTTTAGGCAAAATGTTGATAAAATGTGCATAATTAACTAATAAATAAATACAACTAACTAACTCTAATTAAATTTTTTTTGTAAACTTTAAAATTATGCTGTAAGCTCTAAACCACCAGCAATTTTGTGTACAGAGTGTCCCAATAAACATGGAAATTGGAAGACGACTTGAAAGTCGTTTTTGATTTCTGATATTTAATGCATGGCAATGAAAGTGAAATATACGAGAGTGAGACTTTACAACTGATGAGCTTTCCATAAAGTTGTCTACATTTCTTGTTTCTTAAAAATTAACGAAATTTTGAAAATCTCAAGACCAGGCGCGATATTAAATGTTTAAGCTGAAAAAATGCCGCATAGATTCGAAGATGTTTGTTGGGACACCCTGTATTATTGGATCAAAACGATGTAATACTGGCTATAATTGTTCATCAAGTAGGGGGTAGGAGGAGATTTTAGATAAAATGGAAATACTAAGTTAAAATTTGAAAATAAGTGGCGCGCAAAATTGTCAACTACTTTTTAAGGGGAAACACCCCTTTGAAGATGAGGGCGGCAAGCTCAATTTTTACCCACATGCACCTGATTTTTACCTTTGCCCATAAATCCCTGGGTGAAGCCCCCCGTGATGCACAGGGGGGCAGGAGGACTACTGCTCCCCCTGTGTACGCGCCTGTGAAGCTATTGAAAATTCAATGAGTTGTAAACCAAAAAAAGAAAAACATTCTAATTGAGAAGACGACTTTAAATCTAAAGGTTCAATTTCCTATCATAAAAAAAACTCAACACTGAACAGATGGAATAAAGGGAAAAAGTACCTTCATCGTTTTAAAAAATAGATGTAAATACAGTGAGAACCATAACACTTTGGAATAAGAAGCCGTCATTTACACAATCTTTTGAGTATTTGATGTATAAAATCAGTTGATTGCAAACCATATTATTACGTAAAATGGATCTATGTACACTGCACAATAAATTCATGTTCTTTGGACTATTTACAATCATAAATTTAGTCTAACAGTCGTCTACATATTCATTTCTAGCTTTTGTTAGATATGCATAAAACCATAGTTAAAACATTTTCATTTTGGAGGTCATTTTAGGTTGTTAAAGGTCGTTACTCGTTAGAGGTCATTAGAGGGTCAAGCACTAGGTTTGTTCCCACTTCCGTATTATATGGGTTCCTAGCTTTTGTTGGATACACAAAGCCATATAAAAAAATTTTCATTTTGGAGGTCATTTTAAGTAATTTTAGGTCGTTGTGAGGTCATTAGAGGTTGGCTGCTACCGTATTCCCTGGGTTTCCACAGTTTATTGGGTCTCACGGGCCTCCCCTGCATGATTCGGTTCATATACAAATTTACTTACATATCCAGGTTTTTTATTCAGTCTAATAATAATATTCTTATACTTTAAATTGACTTGAAGCTGGCAAGACTTTTCAATTATTGAAAAGGATTTGATGTTGTTTATTTATTAATGAATATGCTGTTAGAAGAATTCTGTTATGTATGTATGACGCATGAATTCAGCGAACGAGTGCCCCCTCTTTGAATAATTTCTCAGCTTCGCAGTCCACTAGTTTTATTCATCAAGACTGGAATAATTCGGATTTAAAATAATTTCTAAAAATGAATCTTAAACATATTATTCTAATCATTATCAGGTATCTTTAATTCATTTTCATTTTATGAAAAAATTGCGAATTTTGTTTAGCTTTCTAATTTTATCAAATAAGCTGAGAATATTAAGATATTAAAGGGACTGTGATCGTAATTTCAAGTGTCTCTCCATGTAAAAATGGCAATGCCTGATTCACAACGTTACACTAGAAACCTATATCTTATCAATAAAGTGGAAGATATCGTCGTTTTCCAGGGTTAAATGTTTTTAATTAAGATAACTCCTAGCAGTAAAAATTCGCAAAACACTTTTGTAGAGAAATCACAATTGAAAATAATCAGTTTTCAAAATTATAAATATTGATATCTATTTCATAATTGATCAGAATTAAAGCTTTTAAAAGTATCGTTGTGAATCGGGCATTGCCACCTTTGCATGGAGGGTCATTTAAAATCACGCTTAAGTTCTGTTTAAGATACAACTAAAGTTTGAAAATCATATGATATGCTGCTAAGTTGTATTTAAAGATAGAAAAGACAGAGATGGGCTTTATTTAAGTTGTCTTTTAGTCTTCAGGTTTCAGTGGTACATCCTGTAAGATATTTAGATTGTGTCTTTAAACGGTGTCTAGTTTTTACTTCTAAAGCACTATGATTAGCAAAAAAATATTAAATCATTGAAATGGCCGAAAATGTCCGTTAAAATTACTAATTTAAAAAAACGGGAAATTGCTCCAGATTTGATATTATCTTAATTCTAAAATTTTCGAAAATTAAAGTAAATTGCCATTGCTTGTGCCGTTCATGCATGTGCAATTTCTGAACAGCTAACGCCGTTAATTGATAAAACAACCGTTAACTGCTGGCGCCACGTTTGTTGAAAAATCTTTTGTTAACGCCTTAAATAAAACTGAGATCTTTAACTAACGGTAACCTTTAAAAACGGAAAATACCGTTAATGAAACGAACGTTCCGTACTTACCTTTAAAACTATACGGCTGCCAGACATTTTTTAACGGTTGGAACTAAAACTGTAACTATAACGGCTTGAAAAAAGTTGGAACGGGCCCAGCCCTAATGTATGAAGACTTAAGCAATATTTTCAACTAAAAGAATCTAACGAATTTTATAATTGCAATTTTAAGTGACCATTAATTTAAAGCGTTGCATGCCTCATTCACAACAACACTCTTTTAACCTTTCAACCTTGGTTTCAGACAAATTTTTCGTCGTTTTGATTCTTAATCTAAATAATTCTTCATCTAAATCAGAGAAAATCGGAAGAAAATTCCTCCAATTTTTTATTTCTAAAGATTTAAATTTTAGACGAGGCTATTATCAATAACGTCTTAAATTGAAATCTACAAAAATTATATAAACAGATTCTTATCCTTTCTGATATTGGGAATCAAATATGATTTAAATATAGCTCTACAGTTGGACACCTAAAACTGTGAGTTATAAAGACAACCTTATATATCTGTTGTTCTAAAACAAAAATTTTTAACATTAGCGCAAATATTAACGTAAGTATGATTGTCGTCTTCCTATTACACAGTTTTATGGTTCCTACTGTATGTTAATTACTTGGTTTAGTTGTGGTTGGTGTACGCTATGTACAACTGCATCTACAGATTTCTTTTCACAAGCTTTCTTCACAAAACTGGACAACTTTAACCAGCAGGGTAATAATATACTTTAACCAGCAGGGTAATAATATACTTTAACCAGCAGGGAAAAAATATACTTTAACCAGCAGGGTAATAATATATTTCAACCAGCAGGGTAATAATATACTTTAACCAGCAGGATATACTTTAACCAGCAGGGTAATAATAGACTTTAATCAGCAGGGTAATAATATACTTTAACCAGCAGGTAATACTATACTTTAACCCTTCTCCTTCTACGTGACCCAATTCTCCTTCTACGTGACCCCCTTCTCCTTCTACGTAACCCCCTTCTTATTCTACGTACCCCCTTCTCATTCTACGTACCCCCTTCTCATTTTATGTACCCCCCTTTCTCATTCTACGTACCCCCCTTCTCCTAACCCCCTTCCCCTTCTACGCCTAATCTACGTATTTTAACCAGATCTAAATTAAATGCATGATTATTCTTTAGAAACTTGGCAACTCTCATTTTGATTTTCCGCTTCAATAAATTACGGTACAATAACAGTTTTGTAATTGTATTAATAGGACTGTACGACGCAATTTCAAGTATTTATTTAAAGATAGGCAAGTCCGATTCACATTGGTACCCTTTACACCTGCGGCTTAATTATAATTTATTGAGTTATCCCTGTTTTGCTAACTGAGATACAAAAACGAGGATTTAAATGGGACCGTTGTTAACCATGCACGCCACTGTGTAAATGGAGATTCACTTAAAAATACGTCACTAGTCCCTTTAGGCAGGTTTTGAAAACTAGAAAAATCTTACCTTCAATTAATAATTTACATAAAGAATGGAAAAGTTAGACAAAGAGAAGCGGAGAGCCAAATATTCTGTAATTTTGAAAAACCGCGAAAATCAGTTTTTCTTCCAATTTCTGAATAACAATTTTTACACGGTTTATTAGTCTGTTGATTTATAGCACTGATATTTACAAACATTAATTTCAGCATTGCAAATAATTTGCGATACAAAAAAATTTTGAGACGATTGTAAAAAATTCATACCGTCTGTTTTCTTATATTTATGATTCTCTTCCTCATGGTTTCTTTCTTTTTCAATCATTAAAAATCTATATAATAAAACAAGAAATTCATATATATGCTGCCTATAGCCGGCCAAACGGCTGAACCGAATGGATTAAATTGTTTGTTCACACTCATGGATGGCCGGGGGGTGTCACAAGCTAAAAAAGTTCTAAATTTTTTGTTTCAAATTTTTTCAATTTTTTTTCACGGGCAACGCCGGGACCTTCAGCTAGTGTCAAGTAAACATCTGTAAGATAAGGCATAAGAATTAGACCACCTTGGAAAATTTATATATGAGGAGTTTTATGTCGTCTTTAGAGTCTCATTCTTTGTGGTTAACCCTGTACATGTTTAGATTTTGAAAGTTCCCTGTACCAGACAGCAGACCTGTTCTCCAAATCTGATGCAGAAATATTTCGTCAGCTAGGTAAATATAGCAGTGAAGGGGGGAGGGGGGGGGGAGATGTGCCTCCTCCCTGTTTTTTTAACAAAATTTAAAAAATAAGCCTTTCGGCAAAAAAAATCATTTTAAACAATTGCAGCCTGAGTCATCATTTGGCATACTGGAACATTTAAAATAAATAATTGGAACATTAAGGTTTTCGCGAACAAGAAAAGCCAAATTTTCATCTAAAGAAATTTGTTGGTGCACATCGTGGCCAAATTCAACTGAGTAGCAACAAGTTTTCAAATTAGAACAATGAAATTCAACAAATTTCGAAGAATTATGATGTAAGCAGAATTTGGGTCCGGTTCTTCAAAGCATATATGTATTGTCCGATAAAAATGGAACATTTCTTTATGTGGTTTTGATTTATTTTATCCTTATTATCCATTTTATTTACATTTATTTTTTTATAAATCAGAAAATGAGGTTCAGCAGTTTGAAGGAGAATTCTTTGGGGCTGATTTTGGAGCAGCTTTCCCAGATTCTACTCAACACTCAGCTGCTTTTCCTGATGCTTCATACCACGGAGAAGCTACTTTTTCTGATGCCTCGCACCATGGAGAAGCTGGTTCAGAAATTGATCCTGATGCTGAAACTGTGATCTTTGAACCAAAGTTTGTCCCGGCAGGAATGCAGGGGTTGGGAAACGGCCATTATGGAAATCCACAAATTCAGCCAACTGCTGAAGCTACGCCAGTTTTAAGCCAGAAAGAACAGTTTGATCAGATTTACAATGCTCAAGCAAAGACACGTTCCAATTCTCCGAGAGCATCAACAAGAACCTCAACTACTACTCCACCAACTACTACTCCTGCAGCTACTACCCCAAGTAGTTCAACTCTATCCACCACTACTGAAGTTTCAAGAGTCCCAAAGATTTTCACAGATAATCCCAAAGTTCTTGATCCGTTTACAGACTCATACACAGAGGTATTTGAGGATGAAATATACTTTTTATAAAAACCTTTTAAACAGCAATTATTTTTGAGTATATAAAGATATTTTCTGATTGAGAGAAAATCTAAAACACGAAAAAGATATTTCTTACAAATAATTTTTAATAGATTGGAGGAACCCCTGGCCCCTCAACAAGGAGACCACGCTTCAAAATCAAACTCAAATTTCCGAAAAAGGTAATTTTTTAAAGGGACTGTCCGCGTGATTTCAAGTGACCCTCTATGATGACTTTGTCTGATCAAGTATGAATTAGATATCCATGTTTTTTTGTATCTTTAAACTGGTTATTTTCATTTGCGATTTTTCTGGGAAGGTGATTCACATTTTTCTTGAAAATGAGAAGCAATGTAAAGTTATCAGAATTAAACGCTTTTCAAGCTAAACAAAAACAACGTTATCTTATACAGTTGGATCAGATTATGGTTTCCAGGGGAACTTTTGAAAATCGGGCATTGCCATCTTTGCATGGAGGATTACTTGAAATTACTCATACAGTCCCTTTTAAGATAAATTTGTTATTAAAAACTATTATAAAATGTGTAATTACAAGGATGAAACAAACAGCAGGGACAAGAAAGATGTAGATGATGGAGAGATCAACAAACTGGATTTCTCTGCAGCTGCTCCGACCGATCTCCAGGCTGCTGTAGCAGCAAGCTCAAACAGCATCCCTGATATTAATCCTAAGTTCAGGTTCACGGATCTACTGGAACCGGAGCAGATTAATCCTGGACCTGGAGATAGTTCAACTACTCGTCCCAACCAGTTCAACTTCTTCCTAGCAGTTCCAGATTCAGAATAATTGTACAGAAAATCATCCACAGTTGAGATGAATCAAACCTTTCTTATATTACCATGTTCTTCGTGTCACTGTATCACATTAGTCTGTTAAGGTTGAGTGTAATTTCAAGTGAGTCTACATGTAAATAGTCCTATTCACAACAGTACTCTTTAGAACTTTGTCTGATCAATAATGAATGAGAAAAACGGTTTTTTTTGGCTAAAAATTGATCAATTAAATTGTTGGCGACAAAAAGAATAATATTGATGAACGAATATATTTTCCAAATAGAAATCGACAATATCTTCTTCATTGTTAATAATAAGATAATGGTTTAAAAGGGTCCCTTTTAGAATCCGTCTATTAACTATTAAACGAAGGGTTACTTGAAATTAGGTCGAAAGTTCGTGATGTATCAATTTTTTATTTCGCTAATAAGTAATATATGTATTTTTTGAATTAATCATTTTTTACATATTAACTGTGATTATTTTGTATTTACGTTTTTTAGATTATTTTTTGAGATATACATTTAGAAGAAAATAGAAAAAAGTTCCATTGTGCTTTGCTGTTCAACGAAATAACCAACCTTTAATTCCCTCCTTTTTTATTTCCAGGGAGGATAATTACTTATCCTCCCTATTTACAGGGAGGATAATTACTTATCCTCCCTCTTTACAGGGAGGATAATTACTTATCCTCCCTATTTACAGGGAGGATAATTACTTATCCTCCCTATGATCCATACAGATTTATCAAATAAATAGTTCTCTAATTTAATTTTATATTTACATTTATCACTCTCTCAATCAATTTTGAATAAAATAGTTGAAACAAGTAAACTACACCTAGTTTAATATTTGATCCAGGAAAGATCAAAACATGAACATACAGCTCTATTGAGCTGTCATCAAATATATTATATTATTAATATATTATATTCTTTTCGGGTTTACATAATTACATTGTAAAGTTGTTCCCATAAAAATGTTCGATAATTACTATTTTGTCTGCATTTTGAATCACAAAGGGCTTTCTACTCTGAGGAGGTGAAGCTAAGGAACACTTTCCAATATTCTCTATACTGACTTCGCTAACCTCTGTTTTTTCTACTTGATTATTAGGTCCTTGAAGTTTATCAGCCATGGATTTTACAGAAGCTTTGCTGGATGATACATATTCTTGAGGCATGCTCAGATTAGACCATCCATAAAAATCCATAAGCTGTTGAACGGATGCTCCGCTGTCAGCTGCTGCTGTGGCGGACGAGCGTCGTAGAGAATGAAATGTAAAAGATAATGGATTATCTAGACCAAGAATTTTTGCCATTTCATATGGCACTTTACTTACAAGATTTTTCCCCATAGGCTGGTCAGCATATGCAGCAGGAGTCCGTCCTAAAAAATACTCGACCCATGAAATGACCAAGGCTACATTTAATCACGTTCAGATAATCATCAATAACAGCTGCAAAATTTACTGGCCCATCGTTAGGAACTAGGAACTTGGTTTCCTTCTTGTCTGAGCGCTGTTTCGACCTACAATGTGTTACAAGCATCCCATAATTTGTTGTACAAACTGTACATACATGAAGAAATTGAACCAAATATTTCGACCCCCTTCCTGTATTAGTAGAACCCTGGAGAAGGATGAATATACAGAAACCTGATTACTAAAATAAACATGTACTGTATGCACTGTACACTGTACTGCAGTATGCTCTGAGCCAGATTTAGGTCTCAGTTGACAAAAGTCTGCTGCTTGGTAAATCAGAATTAATATTCAGGTATATAATACATACACTAATTAAAGCCCATTTCACATAAATCGATATTACAAGATTACATTTTCTATTCTTGATGTTTTCTATAGTTTCAGGGTTTACTATAAAGTACATGGCCAATCGTCGTTAATATTATTCTATTATTTAGAATCTCCGGTAGAGGCTGAGTGGGCGTTTCCTCTCTCCCCCTCCCCCCCCTTCATACTTCATCTCTCTGCGTCCTGAGAGGTTGATGTATAGGAGCAATGACGACCTCGCCAACCCTCTTGGAAAGGTCAAAGTCGTTTTTATGTTATTTTACACTGAAATAAATTATTGTACAAATTTATTGCACAGCTGTATTTTCTCTACCAGTGAATGCACTGAATTATTCTGATTTATTAAAGAGGTTTTTTACGTATAGAAATGATTATCCTCTATAAACTAAATCTAGTCTGTACGACAATTCTGAATATTATTTCGATTTCTATCCGTTTTCGGAATTCTGAATATTATTTCGATTTCTATCCGTTTTCGGAATTCTGAATATTATTTCGATCTCTTATACCCGTTTTCGAAATTCTGAATATTAATTAATTCTTAAAAAACTTAATTTCGGAATATTAATTATTTCCATTACCGGGAATCCTGCTGTGCAATGAATCTGTAACAAATCAAGGCTTTGTAACCATCTAGAATAGATTAGGATTACAAACGCCCAAAAGTACTCAAAGTGCATAACTCTAAGCACATATATACGTACATCTAGCCATGGAGTACAAACATAGAGTACAAAGGAGCATGAATTATATTCTATCCAAGTAGAAAAACTACAATTAGTGCCATAATATCACATTTAGCACCGAGCATATATATATACATTAATTAACGTCTAATTTCAGTTCTGGCAAAAAGATGTACAAACTTTTATTAATAGTGCAACTCATTTCCCCTTGTTGTCTATTAATGTAACTATTATTAACTAAACACCTTCCGACTGGTTTCTAGTTTAATAATACAGTTCATGCATATTCTAAGTAGAGATGTGCATCATTCAGTATAGATGGGCATTGTAGTGAATATTTATAAATAACTACACATCTGATAAACATTTCCTCTATTGTTGAGGCATCCAAGTAAACCTTTAGATCATTGCTAAATGCTTACTATGAATGTACGTCAACAATTAGAGATGGATATGGTTGCTTAAAGATAGTTTTCTCTATTTAATATGTATTCATTTTAACTTTTATGTGTTCTAATAATGTAATATTCTAATGTAATACATTTATACCAATGTAAAGGTCTAACCATGTGAGCATGAGAACTAGGTCTGATAATCAACCAGTTCCCAACATATGGCCCATAGATCAGTTCAATGCACTAACTATGCAGAACTCTCCACGTCCTGCACCTCGTGGGCTGGCCAGACAGGTCTCACCCTTTCTTTCTCCACATAGAGTTATTAATCCAAGAATTCGTTCATTAATGCAAAGTTATGAACTATCTCCTGGTTCACGTCCAGTGTCTGTTATTGGAAATATGATGGGTTTAAGCACTGAAAGCTTAGATGTGCCCACACCTACTCATACAGATACATCTCTTTTTTGGGACAACATGGGATTTAATACTCATCCTAGAACCAGTGCAGCTGCTAATGGTTTTCTTCAAGAACCAAACTCACATCCACCCCAATCCTCATGTGAAACCTTATCAGAAAAGTCGAGTAACATGATAGGACATGATGGAACAGACAGTATAGATACTCAATCTAGTCAACATAACTACCCTTCTACACAACACAAGTCAGCCCTTACATCTCTTGGTGATCATCTTCTTCAAGGCAATCCCTTGAATCTTGCATGTGCTATTAATCCCAATTCTGCAAACCAGAATGTAATAGAATCACATACACCGCCTCCTCCAAATGGATTTCTTCATAACTCTCAGCGTGCTTTGCCAGGAATTTCCTCCCTTAGTGCAAAAGATCCAAGCCCACCGCCTCGTGGCTCTGTAGATGCAATGCATATACTTCCTGTCTCAGCTCTGAAAGACTTTATAAGAAATTCATCTCGTTCAGATTCTTCCACTACATACAGAAGACATCACTCTGAAACCAACACTATTATCACCACTGAAGAAAGAAGAGAAACTGATGTATTGGATGATGGTACTGACACTGCATTTCAATCAGTCTTCCATGAAAGTATTAATCCAAATCAAAGCTTCCAGCTGTCCCAAAACTCAAGAACCATCAGATCTAGCATTCGTAATTTTGAAAACGGAGCCAAGTATTTGGACAAAATTCAAAGCAAACTAGCTAAAATCAGATCAAAAATTGTAAACCTGCCCCACTTCTCTGATTCTCAGCTCATAGAGTACAGAGACTACCTAGATACTCTACACCTCAAATTGTTAAACCCTGCAGAAATAAACCTGTTTGATTTTGAGCTCACCGTCAACACCTGTATTAGCACTATATTGGAATTGGGAAAGGAAATCAAGCTAGAAATCAAAACTCGTAACCTGCAACTTCCTCCGGTAACCTCACCAAGAAGGAAGACTAATTCCACTAATTCAACTTCAATGATTGAAGAACCGCAGATGTATGCAACCAATGAAGACTTAGCTAGAGCAGTAAGCAACCTCAATAACCTAATTTCTGATCAGTCAAAGTCTACTCAAGATAAAATTCATCAGGACATGATCAAATGTATTACTGAGGCTGAAAAACGCATCCTCCAGCACACTGTGAATCAGGTATCTTCTGAGTATGCTCATGTGCATATCAAATGTATCCAGGAGAAAGGCAAGTTAAACAAGGCCATCCTACAAATGGAAAAAGAAATGAACTTACTAATCCAAAGTATGTCTTCTATTTCACCACAACTGGATCAGTTTGTGCCCATTACTAAAAAGATTAATGCACTGGAAGAGTTTACCTCATCTATGGACTCTGATTTTGATAAATTTGCAACCAGCTTCAACTCTATGTCTTCAGTAATCCGAGGTCTTTCTCAGCAGCTGCAAGAAATAGAGAAGACTACCAGTAAACTGTCCTCCCAACTGTCAAACACAAGTGGAAATAAAGTCCCTAAACCCATCCCATCAAGAATTGTGTCATCCACACATGTGCAAACGGAGTCTCCCATGATCTTGCTACCAGCTGGAAGCTCCAGCAGCTCAGATGAAGAGTCATCACAAGACAGCCAAAGCAGAACTCCAACCCCTGCACCACGCAAAAAACTCCAACCTGTTCCTTTAAAGAGAGGCTCTGCTAATCAAGGGAACTCTGCTTCAGATGAACAAGTCAAACGTTTGAAGCGAAAGATATATGCATGTGGAGGGCTAATCACTCAAATAACTGACTTGGATTTCACCAAAATTCAGAATAGAAGTCAAGTTATTGAGATAAACACTTATGATCTTCCTACACTCTTGAACCTGCGTGACGACTTTCGCTTACTTGAGAAAAAACTTGAGAAATTTCTAATTTCTGACGAATCCGTTCTAAACTATATTGAAGACACTCTGTCTTCAGTACGTCTTTTCGAGCGTTCTTTAAACCAGCAGAAACGCAAACATCATCTACACCTGTCCTCTGAGAAAAATCTTCTTAGTGGAAAAATAGATTTGCAACCCTTCTCTGGTTCTCCTGAAGATGATACCATCTATGCATTCCTAGATACGTTCTTGCGCTTCGCAGAGCCTTCGTGCTCACCTAGAGACCAGGCAACGTTAATGTATACAACTTACCTATCCGATTCTGTTCGAAAGGAAGTTGCATCATTTAAGGATGACATAGAAAAGATTAAAGATCATCTTCTTTCTAGATATGGTGATTTAAGGTTTGTAGCTGAATCCAAGCTCAGATCTATCTCACAATTAAGACATCCGTCTTCTCAGGAATCGTCTAAGATAGCTTATTACAAGCAGGTCGCTCAAACTCTTCTCCAAGTTGAATCCATGAACATATCTGACCTCATAAATCAAGAAGAGATCAATGGGGCAATCTTTAATTCAACTTATGTGAAAACAGTTTTGAGCAACCTCCCTAATGAGATTATTGAAATTTTCTCCAAGCGCATTGAGATTGAATCTTCTAAATCTCGCCCCAGTGGCAAACGATACTTTGACATACTCAAAGACATCATAGACCTCAAATGGAGACAATTAGATACATCTAATAACATTAGATCTCTAAAAGAGCATAACTTACCAGCAAAATCCACGCACATTTCAGGTAATCCTTCTGCAGGTTCCAATGAGACAACATCTCAGCCTGTTACAGGATACAATTCAGCCCAGCCAAATTCTAAACAACTGGTCTTTCCTTGTCCAATGCATGACAAACCAGTCCAACATGAGTTAGGCAGGTGTAAGCAATTCCTTGAAACTGATAATACTGGTAGGCACGATCTGTGCAAATCTGCATTAGCCTGCTGGACTTTCCTTCAACCCAGTTGTCTAAAACTCTCAAAGAAATCCTGTATAGCATCTCTTCCTACAGGATTCACTTGTAGTGAGTGTGAGAAAAATCCAGGTAAACTCAGGAGAATCCCTTGTATCTTAACATGCACAAAAAATCATTCGCGTCCTAAGCTTACTGAAGCAATATCTATTCTACAAGCTTATCTTAAAGTGATAGACAGAGGTCTCATTGAAAAGCTAAAACCGATGTTTAATATAGCTAACATGAAACCCAAAGTTCACAACAACTCACTCTCTAAGAAACCCCCTTCCAAATCAACCTTGAATCCAAAGGCTAAAATCCCAGTGTATGACACGCATACTGGATTGCCTGCATCCCCTTCCTCTCTTTTAACAGAACCTTCAGAGGATTGTGTGTATGTGTTCCAACTCTTGAACATTGGTTCAGAAGATGCTTTATGCTTTTATGATACAGGAGCATCTGGTAATTTGGTTAAAGGTGAGTTTGCTGAAGCTTCTAGTTTCAAAACTATTGATCCTGAAAACCAACGAATTTCAGGCATCTCAAACATGAGCATGTGGACCAACTATGGAGTCTACAGCTGCTCATTAGGTCCAGACAACAGTGGAAACTTCTGGGAACTTGTTTTCCAAGGAATGGAATCAATTACTTCAGAATTTCCTGTCTACAATTGGCAATCAGTTAACAAAGAGTACAGAAACTCAAAGAAACCAGGATCCAAGGAACTTCTTCCCCCCCACATAGGAGGAAAGGATTCTGACATACTTTTTGGGTTCAAAATCCCTGAATTAGTCCCAAAAATTATCACTTCTCTTCCAAGTGGTATTGCCTCATTTCGATGTCCATTCAAGGACGTACACGGATCTTCCATTGCATATGGTGGCACTCACAAGATA